CATGCAAAGCTATCCAACCATTCAATTTAACTTATTGCAAGCATATGGCACTGCCGTGCGGACAAGCAATCGAGAGGCGAGAAGCGAGGCATGCCAGCGGGCAAAGGCAGCCCGGCTTACCATCCGTGTCGAATGCAGTGCCCGTTGCCAGCTTGATCATGACATCTGCCTGTAACTGAGAGATAACACCTTCTGCCTTCCACAGGTCTATTGCCAAAGCCAGAAACTTGCTGAAATCAATGCCTGCTTTGCCCAGCTCGCCCTTCAGCCGCGACCGCTCGGAGCGGCTGCCGGCGGCGGCGCACCGCTCAGTGAAGAAGTCCTTGAACTCCTCCCAGAACACGATGGAATGGCAAAAGAACTTGATCTCGTGGGAGTAGCCTGACTGAACGGCGATGGCGACGCGCGCCTGTGGATGTGCTTCACAAAACCTTTCCCACGAGTTGAAGCGCGACTTCAGCTGCTTAGCTTGGTTAGCTGCACCGCTCAATAGCGGCGTTGGACCTAGAGCCTTGCTGCCGGACTGGGCACCATGCTCATGTGTGCTCATGGGGGTTGAGTTCGTTGGAAAAGCGTATTACGGTTGCTGGGATGCCAACAGAACAAACGGGAGGGAGAATGATGCATGATTGAGGATGATGTCCCCAATGACCCTCCAGGTGGGGGGCCATCATGCCCATCATGGGGCACATCCTTACCGGGAGGCCTACCTGCGCTGAGCTGGCTGGGGGGGCCTTGCATGTGGAAGAGGCTTTGTACAAAGGCCTTTCGTACTCGCGAGGCGGATCAGTTGATAAGCAGCATGAATAGGGCAATGCATGCCATGCTCTGTGCCCCCCCAGTTGGTGGCTCCTGCTGTGGCGCGTGGAGCTGGTCCTTGGAAGCGGTTTTGGCGGCCACTTGGCCGCCGACCCCCACAGGCAGTGCCATCCTGCCATGCCCACTGCTAGCGGGTGTTTACATCAAGCCTAAAGCGCTGTATCCAACCCAGCTGCAGGCCACGGGGGCGGCCGCACACCTCCTGGCCGCCCCCCCAGTTGACTGCCGCGGCGCCGCCTACACTCCATCCTCTGCCGCGCAGCTCGCGCCGGCACGCCAACGCGCGCGCCGCCACCAAGGCATCATGGCCCTACGGCCGTGCCGCCGCCTCAGTAGAGGGCCACGTTGGGGCGCACCGCCTTGAAGGTGGTGCGGTACTTGCGGGAGCTCGGGCGCAGCACCTTGCGGGTCAGCGGGAAGGAGATCTTGGAGTCGTGCAGCTGCTGCGTGGCCGCGCGCTTGCACTGCACACAAGCATGCGGAGGGAGGCACTCGTGGCCGGGGGAGGGGATATCAGTCGGGGCCGAGGCAAGGCTGGTGGAGGTGAGGATGGTGCCGGGCGACAGGGAACCAGCACGCTGGCCTCTCAGCTGGCCGCCGCCGGCTGGTCGCTACGCGCAATGGATTGCCTGCAGCGTAGAGCGGCGCTGGCTGCAGCAGGCGGCGGCACGCACCTGCGCCGCGGTGATGGTGGCGGTCTTGATGATCTGGATGCAGGGCGAGCGCACGCGGTGGCGGCTGCCCATCTCCTGGTACATCTGCTCCACAGCGCCGTTCAGGGTGGTGTCACGGTACTCCTTGTACGCGTTGTGGAAGCCGGTACTGCAGCAGTGCAAGCAACAGCAGTATGAGAGGTTGAGGAAGAGGCGGCAAGCGAGGCACAGGGACAGGGCATGGCCTCATGAGGCTGCTGCCCTGACGCGCACACGTCCCAGGCCCCCTGCTTGAAGTGCGCATCCATCCAGCAACCCCGCCAGCTGCACCACGACAACCAGCCGCCCGCACTCACCGAGACTGGTAGCGCACCCAGATGCCGTAGTTCTTCACGGTGGTGGGGTTGCGCTCAAAGATCTGCACGGACGGGCGGAAAAGGGATGGCGCAGCCGGGTCGGTGGCCAGCGCGGGCCAAGGTGCGGCAGCAGGAGCAGCGCAGCAGCATGTGGCAGCGGTTCTACGGAGGCTGCCCCTCATGCCACATGCGCCAGGATGAGCTGTCGCCAGCCGCACTGCTGCTTCATCCTGCTGGGCGAATGTGCTAAGGGGTGCGGCCACTGCCACGGAATCGCTGCTGAATTGCTGGCTGATACATATTGTCGTGCCAGCGACGCGCTCCAACTTCCCGCTACTCCTGACTGGGCAGGAGGACGTTGCCTGATACAGCCGTGCATGGTGTTCTGTCGGGCCATCCCATCCTGCTGTGCGCACGCTGCCTGAGGCTGTCCCATGCTGCACCTCCTGGCTGCACTGCTTTGCCGCCTAGGCTTACAACAGCACTTCACACCCACCATGCAGCAGCAGCACCACACGCAGCAGCAGTAGTGGCAGCGGACACAACTGCCGGCAGCATGCCGAGCATGATGTGTCCCCTCACCTCGTTGCACGCCAGGATCTGGCCGTTGGCCTTCTTCACCTTGCGCAGCTTCCGCAGGAAGTACCTGCACACGCAGGCAGCCCCATAGAAATGGTCAGCCCCACAGAAATGGTCACGAACCACAGCCCACAGCCAGCGAGAAGCGCTGCCCGCGGATTACTGCCCGGACTGCCCCGTGTGCCGTGTGCGAGCGCCGCTGCCACTGTGCGGCGCGGGGCACAGGCTGCCATCTCCTTGCAAGATGTGCGCATGCAGTGCATCGTCCATTTTTTCTGCCAGCCAGCACTGCTAGTCGCAAATGCTGCTGCGATAATCTGCCTTCGGCCCCGCATCTGCTGGCAGCGTGGGGCTGGGACGCATTTCCGCTCCCCTGCTGGAATGCCTGTTTGTCTCTGTCTCAGCTGTCAGCCCGCCCACTGCTGCCGCCGCCCGCTTGCGGCTAAGCCAGCGCTCACCAGAACTTGGACTTGGCGCGCACGGGGTCCTGCGCCCACAGCTTCATGCGGTAGATGGTGGGCTCCGCATCCTTCTCGGAGGGCAGGTGGCGTCCCACCACCTGGTATTGGTGGTACTTGTAGCCGCCCTGCATCAAAGCACAGACGCACACAGCACAGAGCAAGCAGGCGAGCGTCAGCGCGGCAGGCGGGCGGCGGGTGGCCGGGCGTTGGGCGGTGCCTGGCACGTCGCCAGCCTTGGCGGGCCTGTCACTGCCACCCGGCGGTAATTATGTAGCTGTTGGCTGCTGCAACCCCGCCCAGGCTCCTGCATGGCCGTCATGCTGCGCCGCATGGCGCCTACTGCCCAGCGCCGCCTTTCGCTGGTAATCTGAGCCCATGGTGCAGCACAAAGCCTCCAGCTGGCCCTCTCCGCAGGGTGCAACCCTCGCTGAGACCGTCCCCCAGGTGATGTGGGCGGGCAGCGCTGCTAACCTGCACCATTTGGTCGGGTGCTCCTCCTCCAAATCCACGAAGAGGCAGGGGCAGGCGTGGGGCGCCTCCTTGGGCCTGCGCAAGGCCCGCCGGGGATCGTGGCGCCCACCGCGCGGGAGAGCTCCCGCAGGAAAAGGCCACATCTGCCCGCTTCAACCACTCGCACCGCTGTAATCAGAGCGTCGCTGCCCTGTAGACGCCCGTAGAGCGTGAGAGCCCTTGGAACACTGCTCATCGCAGCCGAGGTGACCGTGAGTCGCCGATCAGGGCCCCAGTGCCGACCATACCGCCCATCCAGCCTTTCTGCCAAGCACCGCGCCCAAGGGTGAGGGTCCCACATGCCGCAGCTCGTGCTCCGCGCCCACTGGCGCGGGACACCCCCCAGCAGTGGTGTCCCAGCAATCGGGGGCACCTTGGGTGCGCACAGCGCTCCCATCACGCCGCTGTGTCAAAGCCCGAGGCCTCCCCTGCTCGCGGCCTGCCTAGTGGACCTGTTCTCTGTTGGGAGCGCACGCACGGCTGCGGGCAGCCATTTAGGCGGCGCCGGACAGGGACCGCGGCCGACGGGTGCCTGTGCCGCCGTCTTGCTGCCTCCGCCGCCTTCCGCCCGTGGGCGCCGCACCCCGCCTGCTGAGGCCTGTTGGCCTGGCCTGGCAGCTGTGTTGCCTTTTCTCCACGAAGGTAGCTGCCACTGACTTGTTGCTCACTCGCGTGCTCCTCCACTGCGCCCTTTGCACCGCGCGCAGGCTTGAGGCGCCGGCACTATGGCGAACCACTTGGCGAGCATCTTCGGTACCGAGAAGGATCGCGTCAACTGCCCCTTCTACTTCAAGATTGGGTGAGCCGTGGGCACAGGCAGGCAGCCAGAAGGGGAACCCATCAAGTATGGCGGTGTCGCGGGGTATCTGCTTTGCTGAGCGTGTTGTGGTTCCAACGGTGTGCCCAAGCTGACCCCGGCCCGTGTGCCCCTGTGCCGCAGAGCATGCCGCCACGGAGACCGCTGCTCGCGGCTGCACAACCGCCCCACCATCAGCCCCACCATCCTGCTGCAAAACATGTACCAGAACCCCATCCTGAACGCGCCGCTGGGCCCCGACGGCCTGCCCATGCCGGTGGACCCCAAGAAGGTGCAAGAGTTCTTCGAGGTGCGCGGCAGCGGGGCCAGGCAGCAGCGTGGCCGCGCAGCAGCGCAGCAGACAGCGGGGCAGCGGGGACAGGGAGGGCAGCTGGCAGGCAGGCGGCCCACAGCAGCGTGCCAGAGCGGCATCCTTGCCCTGCCCCCGGCCTACCTCCACCCGAACACACACTCTTCACCCTCACTCAGCGCACCTCCCCTTTCCCTTTCCCACAGGACTTCTACGAGGACATCTTCCTGGAGCTGGCCAAGTTTGGGGAGGTGGAGTACCTCAACGTGTGCGACAACCTGGCTGACCACATGGTGGGCAACGTGTACGTCAAGTTCAGGTGCGGGGGCACGGGTGTGGCAGAGTGTGGCTGTCGCAGGCCGCGCACCAGTGGTCACTTTGCAAGTGGTGCACGTCAGGGGAGCGGCAGGCGGTGGCAGCCCAGCGGGGTGGAGCACCGCGGCACATGTGCCCCTGCCCACCTCGCGGCGTGCTTGGCCGCACTCGGCGCTAACCCTGGCTGCTTCCGCCTGGCTTTCTCCGCCGCAGGGACGAGGAGGAGGCCGCGCGCGCGCTGCAGGGCATGCAGGGGCGCTACTACGCGGGCAAGCCCATTGTGGTGGAGTTCTCGCCCGTCACCGACTTCCGGGAGGCCACGTGCCGGCAGTATGAGGAGAACAACTGCTCCCGGGGCGGCTACTGCAACTTCATGCACGTGCGCCCCGTGTCCCGCGAGCTGCGCAAGCAGGTGAGGCGACCGGGGCCGGAGATCAGGGGCTGGGCAGGGCAGGGCAGGGGAGGGCCGCTGCCTTGGCTGCGCTCGCTTCTGTGCCACCCTTTCCCTGGTGCGTGCTGCGTGGCGCTTCGGGCACGCGCCATTTTGAGCTCCGCCTGACATCCGCATGTGCCGCCTCCCGCTGCTGCAGCTGTTTGGCCGCTACAAGGGAGGCACAGGTGGCAGCACCAAGTTCCACGACGGCTCATACTCCAAGTGAGCGCCGGGCAGCACTGCTCGTTGCCACTATGCCTGCTTGCACCAACCTGCTTCCCATCTGCACTGCCTGCTGCTAGCTGAACGCCGGTTGGGTGTGCGTGTGCCCTTGCTCTCCATGCCTGCAGGCCAGGCATGGGCGGCGGCGGTGGCGGGTACGGTGGCCGCGGCGGCGGCGGGGGCCGCTACGGCGACCGCGGCGGTTACGGAGGCGGCGGCGGGTATGGCGGCGGCGACCGCGGGCGGGATCGTTACGGTGGCGGCGGCGGTGGCGGCTACGGCCGCCAGCAGCGCGAGAACTCGGCGGAACGCCGTGCCCGCATCGCTAAGTGGAACCAGGAGATGGGAGGCCAGGCGGGCGGTGGCGGCGGCGGCGGCGGCGACGGCGGCTATGGCGCCCCCGCGGCAGCGCCTGCGGCCCCCGCCTATCCAGGCTACGGCGGCGCCTCGACCGCGGCCGCCCAGCCGCCTGCGCCTGCCGCAAACTACGGCCAGCCGGCTGACGCAGCAGCAGCAGCCAACCCGTACCAGGCGTACCAGCAGTATGGGCAGCAGCCGGCGCAGCAGCAGGCGCCGCCGCAGCAGCCCGCGTATGGCGGCATGGCGATGCCGTCAGCACCGCCATCTCACGGCGTCACTGGCTCCAACACCATCCCCATCGCCAACATGCGCCAGTTCCCCGCCTACCCGCAGCAGTGAGGCCGCGGCGTGCAGGGATGGACACCCACGATCCACCCTGCAGGTGTGTACAACCAGACCGCTGCCTGGCCCGCCGCGGCCTCCCCGTTTTTTTTGCTGCACGCTGCTGCTTGCCGTTCCCAGGCTGTGTCAGGTCTGCAGGCAAAGGCTTGCGACCCCCCTCGTTTCCTTCCCTTCCTGCCTTGCTTCTCGGTTGCTCTGCGATCCGCACAGGCACCATTGGGGTTTATGGGGACCCGCCACGGGGACTCCGCCAGTTCCAGCCCCGTTGCAGGGCGCCGAAACTGCAGGGTCAGGCGTGCACTTGCAGGGCCGCCTCTGAACGGATCCAGCTGCAGGCAGTCTTTTGGCTGGATGCGAAACACGCTTCATGCTTGTTTTCGACCACCAGGTTGTCTAAAAGTGCAGGCTGCACGCATACCTTGTTAAGCTGCCCACCAAACACAGGGCCTCGCCGCAGGATTGCCCTGCAGCCCAGTTTTGCCTGGCTGTGGGGGGGTCCAGGGCCCGCCAACTTCGAACAGAAAACAAACCACTGTGGCGGGGCATTTTAGTGCACACTCACAGAGCAGGCTGCCGTGCTGTTGCCGGCTGTCTCTGCCTGCTTGCATGCCAGGGCAGCGCAGGGTGTGCTGCCGCAGGGAAGGTGCAGGTGTGCAGGGCTGGTTTATGCTGGCGCCGGCCGCTTTACCGGCAGGTGGGCATTTACTGTTTCTGGCCTGGGGGGTGGGGACTAGCCCAGGGGGTATCAGGTGAGCTTTCATCCTATTTCTCCAATGCTACATCGAATTTGCTGGCTATTGAGGCAAGTGGCTCTGCACCCGACTTTGCTTTTGCAGGCTGACTTCCTGTCTACCGCATGGTGGCAGCTTCAACAGATCCGACAAGGGTGGCGGCGCTACCGATGCTCATTGACAGCCTGCTTGTCCTGTGTCTGTGTGCAGCTTCTGCGTGTTTCATGTGCATGGCTGTCTGTTTCCTTCTGACTTGCATGACGCTTGAACTACATCAACCATCCTGAGCAGTGCCTGTAACGATGTGCAAGGCTCCACCGTACTCTGGTTTTAGGTGCCGCCGGCGAGATATCTACCAGTCCTGCTGCTCTCCAGTCTCGAAAGCATTGATCCACGTCCTGGAACGACGAACATAGTAGTTGTACAGCCGTACTGCCGGCCTTGGGTCCGAATAAAAACGCCCAGAGCGAGCTCACTATCCACTTCTCCTGGCTAAAGCCGCATCCAAAGGTGCGCACAGCAATTTGGCACATGAATAGAAGCAACTGTGGGTGTTCTGGGCGGAATGAGGGAGATGGGGACGCATCACGATCGATGGGGCAACATTGCGTGGAGTGTGGTGGCCCTCCCGGCACGTATTAGTGCTCGAGAGCGAATTTGCGAGCTGAAAACGGCGGAAACCAGGCAGCCAGCACTTGACATCATCGAGCATTGCAACAAGTCGACATCGACTTGTTGCAATCCTGACGTATGTGGCGGCGTTTTGGGCCCCACTTGCCCCCTCTTGCCCTAGCAGCCTGCAGGCAGAAGACTCCCCCGGGAAGCTCCACCAGACACATATGGCTACCACCATCGCCTCCCCCTTCGCCGGCCAGGCCGTCGTCAAGGCCGCCGGCTGGCCCTGCCGCTCCGCCCGCCGCTCGCGCGCCGCCGTGGTGGTTCCCCGCGCGGCGCTCGAGTCCCAGCGCATGGCCACCCCATTCGACGGCTTCAAGTTCGAGTCCATCCGGGAGAGCCAGATCAGCAGGGCGATGACCCAGCGCTACTTCCAGGACCTGCATGACCACGCGGAGGTGGGTGGGTGGGTGGGTGGGTGGGTGGGTGGCGTGGTGTGTGTGTGTGTGTGGCACAACAGAAACTCGAGGCTCCGGGCGCGCCTTCATCTGAAATTGCAACCCCCAGTCACCTCGAGCAGCGCAAGTGACAATGCCCCTCCCCCTGTGTGCACGCTGGGCCTCCCCTGCAGGTGGACGTGGTGATTGTGGGTGCGGGCTCCGCGGGCCTCAGCTGCGCCTACGAGCTGAGCAAGTACCCCGACCTGCGGGTGGCCATCATTGAGCAGGGCGTGGCGCCCGGCGGCGGCGCCTGGCTGGGCGGCCAGCTCTTCAGGTGTGCTGCTCAGCCGGAAGTGGCCGCTGCTCGCACAACACCCGCCTCCTCCCACCGCCGACCCCCTCTCCTGGCGCCCAACAATACACCCCGCACTGCACCCACCGCAGCGCCATGTGCATCCGCAAGCCAGCCCACAAGCTGATGGACGAGCTGGAGGTGCCCTACGACGATGAGGGCAGCTTTGTGGTGGTCAAGGTGGGCCTGGCCTGGCGCGAGGTGTTTGTGTTGTGAGTTAGTGGGTGTCTGGCAGGGCCCTGGACCGTGCATCGCCTGCCAGGCGAGCTCAGTGAGCATCCGCCTGTCGAGGCCCTAAGCGAGCCCCGGCACAGCGAGCGTCATCGCCCTCACTTGGCGCCCTGCCCCGCTGCGCCCCGACTGCCTGCAGCACGCCGCCCTCATGACCTCCACCCTGCTCTCCAAGGTGCTGGCGGCGCCCAACATCAAGGTGAGCGCCTTGCCCTTAACCGCCTGCCACACGCACGCCTGGCAGCATCTGCCATTGGCATGATGTGCCACAGGCCTCTGTGCATGCCACACACGTGATGATGTGGGACCCAACCCCCTGCCCCTCCCCTGCGCCCCCCCGCCTGGCTGCAGCTGTTCAATGCCACGGCAGCTGAGGATTTGATCGTGAAGCAGGACGAGACGCGCGGCAAGTGAGTGACGGCTGGCTCTCCTGCACAAGCCCTCGTGCCACCCGCCCGCCTTTCTACTCAGTCTTGAATGAAGAACTTCCCTGCCCACCCCACCCATCCACATGCACGCACTCCCCTTCTTTTTGCTGCAGATATGTTGCGGGCGCTGTCACCAACTGGACTCTGGTGAGCCTTTGCTGGTCCCATGCACCAGCCCTATCCTCCTCCGCCTGGTTGGGTGGCGGCTGGCGGTGCAGGTGGAGGTTGCATGTACCGAACAATGCCTTCTTTTGCATCCATCCCTGCACCTCATCGACTTGTGCGCAGGTGAGCCTCAACCACGACACGCAAATGTGCATGGATCCAAATGTGATTGAGGCCAAGGTCATGGTGTCGTCCTGCGGCCACGACGGGCCCATGGGCGCCGCGGGTGAGGGCCAAGGGGAAGCGGGAGAAGTGACCAGGGGCAGGGGGAAGAGGAGTTCTGCTGGCTGGGAAGGTTGCTGGCTGGTGCGGATCTGTACCAACTGGCCCCGACCCCTCTCCCCCTCTGGTGCCTCGCAGGCGTGAAGCGCCTGGCCCGCCTGGGCATGGTTGAGAAGACCCCCGGCATGGGCGCCCTGGACATGAACTCTGGTGGGTGGTCGGGCAAGGGCGCCTGCTGGTGCTTGTCCTCAGTGCAGTGCACCGCTGCTGCCTACCAGGCAGTACCACCCCTAGGGGCCTGCTGTCCACTCACCCATGCACCTGCTCCCCCCGCCCGCCCGCAGCGGAGGATGCTGTGGTGGACCGCACGCGCGAGATTGTGCCGGGCATGGTGATCTGCGGGATGGAGGTCGCGGAGCTGGATGGCTGCCCCCGCATGGGGCCCACCTTTGGTGAGCGCCCAGCGTGGCTAGGCGCCGGGATGGGCTGGGTGGCCCTGCACCACTGGCCCTGCTTCACTGCACACGGCCGCCACCTGCCACCATCCCCGCTGACGTGCAGCCCACTACTGACTGGCGCTGGGTGCGTGCGCCACCCCCCTCCCTGCAGGCGCGATGTTCATGTCTGGCCAGAAGGCGGCGCACGTGGCGCTGAACTCTCTGCGCCGCCAGCAGGAGGCGGCCCAGGAGGCGGCCCAGGAGGAGAGCAAGGAGGAGGGCAAGCCGCTGGTAGCTGCCTGAGCTTAGATTGCATGGCCAAGACCTAAAAGCTGTAGCGCCACCACTAGTATGCGAGAGAATGGCGGCACGCCCCTCAAATGCAGACCTCATCAGCCAGGCTTGCTGTGATTGTGATTCGTGTTGGGCAACCAGTGTTACATAGTGTAACAAGTCGTGTGAAGACAGCAGCGTGCCAGGAACAGCAACATGCACGCTCCGGCTGCCGTCACGCCTCGGCCGCTGCCGGCGTGAGGCTCTCCAGCTGCAGCACGAACCTGAACCGCATGTTGGCATCGCCTGTCTGGTACGGGAACCACATGGGGAAGTTCGTTCCTGTAAGTTGCACAGGTGACAGGGAAGTGGGGACAGGTCAAGTCATTGTACTGGCAGCTGCCTTCATTCCACTGGCGTGCTCCCGCCATGCCTGCCCGGCAGTGCCTCACCCCAAATGTTGTTGCTGAGGCAGTAGGACGCGCCATAGAGCAGTTCGGGCGGCACACTGAGGCTGGGAAAGGGCGTATGGCGCCCGGGGCTGACCACCGCCGCATCCAGCGACCGGATGTGCAGGCGGCGGCGGCCGTCTGCGCTGTCCACGCTGATGCCCTCGTCCCCTACAGCGTGCAGGCCGTGGCTTCCGTTGCGGATGACCTCCAGCGGGGAGATGGGCTGGCCCAGCTTCCACATCAGCCAAGTGCTGGAATTCACTGCAATGGGCAAGGTGGGGCATTGGGCACTCGCTCGTTGTGAAGAAGGAACACAGTTCCAGCAGCCTGCTCCGGGCAGGATGTGCGCACGCCGTGCACTTGCCTGCCTCATGCAGGGGCGCCCAGCGCAGCCAGAACGCCTCTGGGAGCCGCGTGGGCGTCTTGCCCTCCCACACGACATCCAGCAGCAGATCAGGGGAGTTCGGTGGGGCCCTACAGGCCAGCCAGGCACGCGGGGAACGTTTGCAGGCATTCTGAAGCAAGCAGCTGACAGCAGACAGTGCAGTCCAGTATCACCGCTGGGCAACACGGCACCTGGCAGCTGGCCGTGTGCCGCGCCCACCCACCTGATTTCGGTCCACAGGGCCCTGGGAGCGCCTGCGTGCGTCACCGCATAGTCATCAAACGTTGCCTTGACGGTGACGTGCAGGCCGCCCTCGTCGCTGCGGCGCCACCAGACCTCCTGCGCCTGCGGCAGGTACTCTGCGCGCCGCGCGCCGCCCTTCACCGTGGCGTTGGGCTTCCCAAAGTCCTGCAGGCCAAGTCGAGGCCAGGTGAGGCTAGTCAAGGCGAGGAAGGGGAGGCCAGGGGGAGGAATGACGGGTGGCTATCTCTACCAAGACCCGGTGGCGGCGGCTCCCAGCACACATTGCCCATGTACCCGGCATCACTCATGCTCCCTGGCACCAGCCCCCACCTTGTAGAACCAGTCTGCCAGGCGGTCGCGGGGGAAGTAGCTGTAGCTGTCCCAGATGGCGTCGTAGTCCTCCTCTGCGGCAGCAGCGGCACAGCAGCAGGCGGCTGCGTAGCTCCCGCCGTGCAGCAGCAGGTAAAAGCACGGCTCCGTCGAGCCAGAGGTTGTGCTGAACAGGGCATTTGTGCAGGAAAGCGTGGAACGCACCTGCATAGGTGCTGTACACAGGGAGCGCGAGCGGGGCGTTGAAGCCGGCCCAGCTGCTGCCACCGCCGCCGTCCCCGCCGCCGCCGCTTGCCGCAAACAGGCCGCTACCCGGCAGGCGCAGCGCTGCCAGCAGCCTGGCCCAGGGCGACGGGCTGCTGCTGCTGGGATGGGTGCTGCCGGGCTGGCCGCCGGCGCCAGCTGGCTTGAAGCTGAGCCCCACAATGGCCCCAGTCATGTTGGAGAGCTCCAGCTGCCACGAATCCGACTCAAACCGCAGCGGCTCCTGCAGGCTGCACCGCTTGAAGCTGGTGTTGGCGGCGCCGGGCGTGGGCGGCGCCTTGCCCTCCTGCAGCGTGGACAGGATGCCCCAGGCACGGAAGCCCTCCGGGCTGGCGCCTGCACCAGGGAGGTGGGTCGTCAGCACCACCTCTGATTGATGATGTATACACCGATGCCTGCCCATGCATCGTCAACCATATCAGGGCGGCAGCAGACAGGGAGGCGGGGACAGCAGGAAGGCCAGCCAGCGCCCAAGCCAGGAACGGCAGCTTTTGCCCTTTTACCCTGCTCACCCAGCTCCTGCACAGCCCACAGAGAGTAGGCTCGGTGGCGCACCCAGCTGCCCACCGCCACGAGGAATGGGTTGTCCTTCCGCTTGTTGAACAGCTGCTCCTGGAGGTCTGCACCAGACGCCGCTGGAGCAAGAGCGGATCACCAGTTGCAGGAGCTGGCAATCAGTCAGCTGGGCACAGCTCTCCTCCCTGACGGCGGCCTTCCTGCCCATGCCCCAACCAGCTCCTCAGCCTGAGCCGACCTTTGTTGCTCCAGCTGTCCCACTCCCCAGGGTACTCTTTTGTGTCCACGCCAAACGTGTGCTCGGGCATCTGCACTTGCAAGCAGGACAGGTTGACCGTTGTGACGGTGAGCAGCAGATGGCAACACAGCAGGCTACAGCGCAGGCAGCGAGCATCGCGTGCCTTGAGCAGCAGCCTGCTGAACTTCTTGAATGGTTCGTCATCGTACCGCTCCTGGCTGGCGGTACGCATGCGCAGCAGCGCACGATACTCTGAGAGCTTGGCTGGGTCGGAGGCGGCACCGTGGATCCTGCAACCCACAGGCCACCACAGTCTGAGTTCCATTGCTGCCTGCCTGAACACGCCAGGTCCATGCCGCATTGAGCAGTGGTGTGCAGCGGCTACTGTGCCCAAAACCGCAGCGCACCACGTGTCGCCTATCTCTGCCGTGACAACCGGGAGCTTGAGACCGGGGGCGGCGGCCTCCAGGTCAGCCACAAAGCCGTCAAACCCAGCCGCAGCCACCTTGGCCTTGGGGAAGTTCTGCTGCACTCGCTTCCAGATGTCCAGCAACTGCCGGGTGGATGGAAGAACCCAGCACCGTGCATGGAGCTGCTGCAAACTGGGGACAAGAACAGCTGAGCAGCGAGGAGGGGCAGCCCACCACTCACCTCCTCCGCTGTGGGGGGGCCAGTGTTGTCTCCAGACCATGCAAAGCACATGGCGTGATGCAGGCCCTCCACCTGCAGCGAGAATCGGGGCAGGCACGCTGTAAGCAGCTCGTGATTCAGGTCAAGCCACACCACTCCAGCACTATTTTCCACCACCTCACCTGCACACACTCGTCCCGTGAGTCCACTGGAAAGCCCGAGTAGCCGCCCGGGTGCCACATGGCCAGCAGCTGCTTCCCACTGGGCAGGTCCCGCCAGATGAAGGGCGTGTTCTTGGGCACCGCCGGCGGGGCTGAGCCGCCGTTCACGCCCACTGCACGCCAAGCAGGTGAAGGGGCAGGCAACCTCAACAGGCTGGTGCGCCTGACTTCAGAAGGGGAGGAGCGGAGAGAAGAGCACATAGCTCCAGCACGAATGCTCAAGGCAGCAGCAGCGGCTGGTGTGTGCCTCTGCCCCTCCCCTGCCCTGCCCACCCACCAGAGATCGCCTTGACGCCCTCGTCAGCCAGGATGGGCACCGCGGCCCGCGTCAGCCCCGGCACGTCGCGCTGGCTGGCGGTGACCTTGGGCGGAAGGCCAAAGGCTCGGTCCAACTCATGCGTCATGCGCACAGCAAACTGCGGCAGTGCCGCCGGCGGTTATGAGGGGCAGCGAGGGGGCGCACGTCAGCGGTCACACCCAGTGCACCAGGTTGGACCATGGCTGGCTGGCTGGATGCCAGAGCAGGCAGGCAGGCAAAGCGTGGCGGGGTGTGGGACCAGCCGGGGACACACTGATTTTGCAGCACGGCAGAGCAAGCGGCACGGGCCCCCCCACCTGCAGCAGGCTGGCATCGTACAGCTCGACCTGGGCGTTGTGCGGCAGCGCGTGCCACACGATGTCGCCCTGCTGCACCGCCTGCCTGACGTCGGCCACGGTGGTGGCGTTGGGGCACTGGATGCCGATGCGGGCGGCGCAGTCGAGAAACAGGCTGACCAGCCAGCTGTGGGTGAGGAACACCAGGCGCTCGGGGCTGCCGGGCCGGTCCCGCAGCTGCTGTGCAACCTGGGCCGCCCTCGGGAAGTACTCGTTGAAGTAGCGGCTGCAGAAGAAGAAGAAGATATGACCAAACATGGGTGACTCAGGGGGAGAAACGGTGGCAGCGACTGTCCAGAAGAAGCCTAGCAGCCACTCCCTCCCCACAGCTGTGTGTGACGCCAGTGATCGTCGTGACGTGCGAATCTGCACGTTGTAAGCGAGGGCACTGCGCACAAAGCGGCGAACCTGATCACAAAGTTGTCGTAGCCAGGCTCGGGCCCGCCCGAGTGGAACCCCACGTCTAGATGGCAGGCAAAGAGCAGGGAGACTTTCGAGATGTGCTTGGCAGGGGCGGCCTTGTTGGCATCTGCGAAAGAAGCGAGGGCAGCCAAACATAGCGCCACCAACAGCAGGGCGGCAACCCTGCAGCAGGGTGGGTGGGTAGGCGGCGAGTTGGAGCGGCAGCCCAGCGGCAGCAGTGGGCGGCGCGGTCTCCGTTCTCAAGACCACTGGCGGCAGTTCCGGAGGGGGCGCTTATTAACTCGGCTACACCTTCAAGCTTTTGGCACGGGACAGCAGGAGACAGCGACTGCAGGCAGGGCTCACCGGCTGGGCGCCATCGCGTTGCGGACCCTCTGTGTTCGGTTCAATCAGGATCCTCGCCCACCACCAAGTGATTGAATAGCGGGATGCGATTCGCTGTATGTGAGCCCAAGGCCAGCAGGGCCGCCGCCAGCAAGGCTCCGCCGCCGCCTCTGAGGCCCAGAGCATCGGCTGTATTGGCCTACGGCTCTCGTTGCCCTGCATTTATCCTTTACTACTCGCATGGAGGCTTCAATTACGCCCAGCGGCGGGTGGCGAAAATAACTGAACCGCAATGGGCTCCGAGGCAGCTGCGGACTGTGTGATGCGCGAGGTGGCGGCCAGAATCATTCAACACCACTTCCGAGAGCGCCGCAAGCGGCCCAGCGCCAGTGGCAGCGCCCGGTGGCCTGCCACCCCGCCGGCGCCGCCAGCCAGTTGCAGCTCCAGCTTTGCCCGCAAAGCCAGTGTGCTAGACTTCATGCCGGGGCCGCGCCCCGCGTCAGTGGTGCGCCCAGCTAGCAGGCCACCCCGGCCGCGCGCGCCGAGTGCGGTCGCCAAACCGGCTCCAAGCAATCGTGTTGGCACCAGCGGTACCTCACAGACCAGCAGCCCAGAGGTCGAGGCGGTGCTGCTAGAGGACAGTGCAGAGCGCGTGAGCCGCGAGTCGGCTGCCGCCAAAGCAGCCGCTGCAGCTGTTGCCACTGACAGCACTGCGCGCAAGGCCGCCGCCACATGTCCAGTGCCGCGCATGTGCGACAGCCGCGCCGCCAGCCCACCTCCGTCCCAACACGCGCAGCAGGCCACGCGTGCCGCGGCGTCGGGCAGGCCCTTCTCGCCCACGGCGCGCCAGCTGCAGATGGGGGATGTGCGGGCGTCCGCCTCCACTGAGAAGATGGGGCACATCATGCGGATGATTGCGGAGCTGGAGAAGCAGGCAGTTGAGGAGGCACGCCAGGTGGCGCCGCCACCAGCTGTTCCGCCACCCCAGCCTCGGCTGCAGGCGCAGCAGCAGGAGCAGCAGGCCAAGTCGCCAACATCCACGGCCCACCCCATCGCCAGGGTTCTGGCCGCGCAGGCGCTGAGCATCGGCAGCAAGCAAATAGTTGCGGCGGCCGCCACCGATCCTGTGGCAGCGGGGGCGCTGCGTGCCGCAGAGGCATCCACGATGGTGCGCAAGCAGGCCCAGCTGCTGACCACGCCCAGCAGACCTGCTGCGGCATCCACCCGAGTTGCAGCGCCTTCTGCGAAGCCTCCAGTGCCTGACCGTGGCGCCGAGCCAGCACCTGCCCCGGCGCCTGCCCCTACCCCCCAGCCACCGGCGCCTCCTGCTGGTCAGCTGAATGCTGCCGCCGTGGCCAGCAGCGTGCGCGCCAAGATCCAGCAGCTGCAGCAGCAGGTGGCGGACAAGGATGGCCAGCTGGCGGAGCTGCGGCAGCAGGCGCAGGCGGCGCGGCGGGAGCAGGCCGTGGCGCTGCGGGCTGCAGAGGCCAGCCACAAGGTGAGAGGGCAGGCTGCTGCCAGGGCGCGCACCGGCACCGGCAGCACTTCTGGGCATTGATTGTATGAAGCTAAGGCCTCTGTCGTGCGCCCGTGCAGGCCCAGCTGGCCGAGCAGAAGGCGGAGACAGAGGCCAGCGTCTCCCGCAGCATGCAGCTCATCGACCGAATCATGAAGGACAAGGACGCGCTGTCAGGCACGGCCCGTTACTGCATGCTGCTGCTTGCTTGCTGCCTTACTGCGCAGCACCAGCTGCCGCAGTGATCTTGGCCTGCAGTGCCTGTGCACTGGCTGTACACTTGGATTGCAAGTGCCTGGCGCCACCATTAGGCTTGAGGTATGCCTGAACGTCCGCCGTGCCGTCTCCCTACGCGTGTGCAGCCAAGTGCGCCAGGCTGTCAGCGGATGTCGGCGCCATGCAGGCGGAGGCCGCCAAGCAGATTGAGGCGCTGAAGGAGGGTCTGGCCCGGGAGCTGCGCAAGCAGAAGGTGTGTGGCTGGCTCGGCATTGCCCTGTCTACTCTTGTGCTGCCCTTTGTCATTCCAACCCAGGTGCGCCAGCTGGCTGTCGCTTGCTGCCATGCTGTCAGCCACATCAGCCCCCAAGCAGCAGCCCTCTGTGTGGTTGCGCAGGAGGTGTGGGTGGCGGCCGAGCGCGCCAAGCGCGAGGCGTGGATGGCCGAGCAGACGCGCAGCATCAAGGAGAGCACCATCAAGGGGCTGGAGCCGGAGATTCAGGCAAGGCGGGGCCGTCAATGGGCAGGTCAGCGGCCGAATGGTATGGGCAGCGCTCTTGCCCGGGAGCAGCAAGGCTAGCCAGAAGCAGATGGACTCTTGCACATGGCCATTGTACCGCTGCAGAGGCTGATGGAGGCTCACAAGGTGGAGATGATGCGCGCCGAGCAGCGCCACGAGGCGGAGGTCAGCCGCCGCTTGGAGGAGCAGGTAGCGGCGGTTCGCTCTGTGGCGGCGGCGGAGCATGCCGCGGCGCTCGAGGTGGAGCGGGCAGCTGCCCGGGATCAAATCAAAGATGCTCAGAACAGGTAGGGCTGCACTGAGCATGTGGGCCCTTGAGCATGTGGGCCCGCTTGGCGTCGTGCCCAGAGTTGTCTGCTGACTTCAGGCTCCACAAGACGCACCAACCTCTTATCCTCTTTACGCATTGCTTCTCCAGCCATTGCCTGCTCTCCTCCTCCCCTGCCTCTCTGCTGCCCAGGTTTGAGGTTGAGCTCCAGTCACTGCGCATGCGCCTGGCGGCGGAGCACCAGATGCAGCTGGACAGAGCCGACACGGGTAGGTGCCTCCCCAGCAGCAAATACCACGATTGCCTTGCGCCAGCCTGCACAGCATGCACCATTCGATTTGCCCCAGGCTCACCAGCCAATTTTCAATGTGTCGTGTGCTTCCACCGCTGCTTGCTTTGCAGCCCGGCGTGAAGACCAGGCCCGCGTGCAGCAGCAGGCGGCTGAGTGCGAGCAGCTGGCGGCGGCGCGTGGCGGCACTGCGCGGGGAGTGGGAGAGCGAGAAGCAGCAGCTGGCGGCGGCGCGGCAGCGGGAGGTGGAGGCCGTGAGGCAGCAGTATGAGGTCAACCAGGTGGGAGGCACAGACAGCTGCCTCTGCTCTTCTGCGTGTACTGATCCGGATGTCATTCCTCACAGCGAGCAGCCCGCTGTTTGTTTGCTTCTCTGTGCAACCGCTGCTTAGCCTTTCTGCCTGGCACTCGCAGGAGGCGTGGCGTGCGGCCGCCAGCGAGCGGGCACGGCGGGAGATGGAGGGGCGCGAGGCGGCGCTGCGGCGCCAGCTGGCAGCTGAGCGGGACGAGGAGCTGGCGGCTGTGGTGGCGCGCCTGGAGGAGGATGCTCTGGCCAAGGAGGGCCAGCTGCAGGCAAGGCTTGTGGTGCCGGAAGCGGATGGATGGCTGTGTCCCTCAGCGGGCTTGTGGCGTTGCTGGTGCCGTAGGACAGCCGTGAACTCTGCCACCTTGGCCCGGTTGCAGAAGCAGCTGGCGGCGGGCGAGGCGGCGGCGGAGGCCAAGTGGCGGGAGGAGGTGTCGCGCCTGCGGGACACGGAGCGCAGCCTCACAGGTGGGGGCCCCGCAGCATTCACCTGTGCACACCTGAGCATCCATGCCTTCTGTATGTAAGGGCCTGGCGGGCCCACCACGCTGTGCCTACTGCCCTTCCATTCAATGCAGACACATGCGGTGCAGCTGAGGCGCGGGCGGCAGCCGCGGAGGCCAAGATTGTGCGGCTGGAGGAGCTGGTTCACACGCTGCAGCGGGAGGTGTCCAGCAAGGGGAGCAGCCTGGCCTGGCTGGAGGACCAGGCAAGCTGCTGCTGCTGCTGCCGCTGCCGGGTTGAGCCTGAGCTGCATGTTCAAGCAGCGATTGGTGCAGACTGAGTTGCCCAGCTTCTCACAATGCGCTTCCTCATTGGTTAACACAGCAGCTGCCGTTTGCGTGTGCTCGCCGTGTGCCCTGCAGCTGGCAGCGGCCAGGAAGGAGGCTGTTCACCGGCAGGACGCTGCGGCGGCAGCGCTGCGCAGCGCCAGCGAGCAGCATGCCCAGGAGCTGAGGGCGGTGGAGCAGCGGGCTGCTGCTGCCGAGCAGGAGGCGGGCGCTGTGCAGGAGGAGGTGGCGGCGCTGAGGGAGAAACGGGTCAAGGAGATGGATGAGATAGAGAGCCGCTTCAGGGAGTTGGTGGAGACCAAGAACGGCACCATAGCGTCCCTGACACAGCAGCTGCAGGAGCTGCATGCCGCGGTGTCGTAGCTGGCCTGCCATATGCACTTTTCTTTGTGATGTGTGGGTACCGCAAGTATTGCAAGTGCTCAGATGTACAGAATTGAGAGCCGGATTATTAGGACGATGACATGAGCGAAGGGTGGCCGCAGAGAGTGACAACACAAACAGTGAGGAGTGCGATGAAATGGCCATGTAAGAGGGTCAACCCGAGGTCGGTGCCCCCTGAAGCAGCTCAGCAAAGGCTGCCTGCCAGTCTTCAGGCGGCTGCCCCTGGCCTGCGCTGCTCAGCTGCAGCACCAGCGGCCCTGTCGCCGCGTCTCGCTCCGCTGCCTCCGCCAGCGCCTTGGCCGCATCCTCCCGGCTGACCTGGCCCTGAGGCTGCGCACCAGCTGTGACAGGGAGGGATGCGGGGGAGCGACATGCAACGGATCATGCCAGCACTTCATTAGGCTGTGAGGAGACAGCGCGGGCCAAGATCAGGTGTGTAATTCAGGCACGCCCACCTGTGAGTGCAAGGCTGCTGGTGCCGCCCGGCACGCCTGCAAGGCTGCCGACTTGGACGATGGTGAAGGGCAGGCCGCTGGCACGCAGCTGCTGCTCGCGGGCCGGATCTGCCAACGCCTGCTGCTCGCTGCTGGCAAAGAGGGCAAAGCCCTGTTGCGGCGCCCCCGCCGACGACAGCAGCACGGCGTGCGGCAGCCGGGTCGCTGCCGCCGCCGGCAGCAGCGCCCCCAGCTTGCCGCAGCACACGGCGGCCTTGGCGCCGCGCAGCAGGCGTGCCACGGCGGCGCGGTCGCCGCTGTCGCCCTGCACCGCCTCGATATAGGGCCCAAAGCCCGCCTTGGCTGCCGCCGCATCCTTCACCAGCGCTCGGATCTTGGTTCGGTTCAGAATCAGCTGCAGCACCACCTGCTCCGCCATGGGGCTGCTGTCTGCATCCAGCACAGCCACATACTCGCGCACCGCCGCCTCCTCCTCCTCCTCCTCCTCGGGCTCCTCCGACCCTGGCCCGCCCTCGCGCCCGTCCCGCGGCAACACCTGCCCCTCTTGGCCATACCATTTGCGCAACTTCTTGCCCGCATACCTGCATGGGGAGGGGCGGCAGGGTAGGTGCACGGTTCCAGGCAGTAGCATTCAACCATGCAATGCTTGCAAGGGTGCACCCACATAAAGTCCAGCAGTTCATCGCCAAAGTTGCCAGAGCCTCCACCCGCCGCCAGCGGCGGCAGCGTCTGGCGTCGCCTGCTGCCGCTTCCCGGTGCCCGCAGGCCAATGCCGGCCGGCGCAGCGCCGATCAGGGACCTGCTTGACGCATTGGAGGCAAGTGTGCGTGGAACAGCCCCGCTGCTGAGTGGTGCAACAAAAGCTGTAAGAGTGTTCATTGAGCCAAGATGGGCGCTGGGTCACCCCCATAAATGCCTCTTTTGAGCAATCGACGCTGGAAGGCCCACAATTCCTCGCGCTGAGACTGTCCTGCAGAAGTGTACCTGGCGCGCTGCTGCTAATTTTACCCGCCTGGCACCAACCCAGGCGTCCTTCTCCGTGATCGCATCTAGCCCGAGGGGCAGACACTGCGGCCCGGCGGCAGCGCACACCAGGAGGCCAACCCAACGCCTAGACGCTGCGCACTAGCACCATGGGGCTGGGAGACATCTTCTACAACGTGCGACCCACCGCCGCCGGGCCTGCCCTGCAACCCAGAGCACCGCCCTGAAACCTTGCCCTGCCCGCGTCTGCAGACCTTTGTCCGGCGGAATAGCGTTTACGTTGCAACCATCATCGTGGGAGCATTCGTGGGAGAGAAGGTGAGCCGCACAGGGCGGGCGGGGATGGGGAGTGTGGCCGCCAGCGTCGGGGACCGCAGCCAGCAGTGACTGTAATCGCGCCTAGCGCTCTCAAGTTCACACGCTGTGCGCGTATATCATGTGCAGGCCGTGCACGCTATCGGCGATGGATTGTGGGAGTCAAACAACCAGGGGGTGCGCACCCAGCCGCTGCGCTGTACTGTGCGCTGTGGAGCCTGGCCCTCGCTCGGTTGGCAGGCTCGCGCCTGTGCGCATGGTGGCAGTGAATACGCCATGCCCGCCTGGCTGCAGATGTGCTGCCTTTCCCCTGCTCTGACCCGCTGCTTGCCGCGTTTGTGTATGTCTGTTTTGCGCAGAAGCTGTTCAAGCACATGAACCTGGACAAGGCGGAATGATGCAGACGCACGTCCAGCACCCGCTACCTTGTTGAGACGCCTGCAGCGGTTACGACGCTATGAGCAGCCTGTAACACACGTCGGCGACTGGCAGGGAGGAGGGCGCTGTGGTTGGTTGGCAAGGTTTTGGAGTTTAGAGGAGCTACAGCCTTGTTCGTATTGAATAGCAGTAAAAGCAGCAGCAGGGGGTGGGGTGCGTCTGCAGACAGGGCTGTCGCTGATAGCCACGGTAGACAGGGTGCCCACGTGTGACAAGACGAGGAGCGCACGGGCCGACCGATGACAAAGTTGCAGCTGATCGGATCAACCCATGGTGCTGATGCCGCTCCAGGCTCGTGGACATATGCAGTGCCTGTCTGTGCCTGTTGCATCGCCGCTGCAGTGCGCCGCTGCGCCAGGCGGGCGCCAGTCCTTGCCCCGGCTTTCCATGGCCTGCCGTCTTTATCGATCGTCATTTCAAAAAGTTAAACAGCATTGCGGGCGCTTGGGGCCTGAGGAGGCGTGAGGAGGCCCTGGCGCCTGGGATGGCAGGTGCTGCGGGTCGCTCTCAATTTGCACGCACTTGCAATGTGCCGTGCTGATCTGAACATGCAGTAACGGTACTGGCAGTTGCCTATCCGCTATCACAGAATGCACCCCCGGGCGACGGCGCCCCTGCCGCCACCTGGGTCCTCCCCCGCTATCTGACCGGCTCCTCCCTCCTGTACCTGTGCAGACGGTTTGAAGCCACAGCCACGTGTTCTGCAGCTACTAGCCTTTGCATTCGCTGCGGCAGTGGCCCTGTGGCTCTTTACTCACCCTGGTGTCCTGCTCGGTGACGGAACGGTGAACCGCGTTTGCCCATCTGTCATATCAGACCTGGTTGGCACCCAAGCAACCCATCTATATCCTTCTTCTCATGCAGGCCGGCAGGGCTAGGGTCTCCCGCCGTTCGGTGGCAGCCAATGTGAGCAGCAGCAGCAGCAGCAGCACCAGCACAGGTGCCGCCAGCGAGGATGTCTTCACATCGCTTTCATCGCTCTACGGCCCGGTGCGCAAGGCAGGCCCGCTGGACGAGGCGGCGTGGCTCAAGCCGCATGCGGTCAGCCGGCACAAGCGGTACTGGAAGTATCTGCGGAAATGGGAGCGGGAGCACCCTTTCGGCATGCCGCCCTCCAGCGGCCTCCCCGACCCGCCGCCAGTCATCTTCCCAGAGTGCCAGGTGCGTAGACGCGAGGGATGTGGCATATTGCTGTATAAACGGTCAGAACATGATCTGGGTCGAACGTGATGCCTCAGCGCTGCAGGTGTGGGTGAACCATGCCTACCACTTCATTTACTTGCGGCATGCCAAGGCCGCCTCCACCTCCGTGCTCAACTGGTTTGGGCACTGCGGCTGGCAGCACGTCAGCGGCCAAGGTGAGGCATTGCTGCTGGTGGCGCAGCGCAACTCAAGCACAGCAGATTGCATGCAATGCACGGCTGGGCTGTCTGCTCCTCGGGCCATGCCTCGCCAGCTGGCGCCCCCGCTCCCTGGCTGCAGACAGCTGCATGGAGCTTCTGGATGTGGAGATGCCGGCCGCCCAGGTGGCCGCCCTCTGGCAGAAGTTCTTTGTGTTCACCGCGGTGCGCAACCCCTACACCCGGGCGGTGTCCCAGTACAAGTTCCTGGCCCGCAAGCTGCTGCCCAAGCCCGGGTGCGGCGACCTGGTGAGCGGACTGGGGGCTGGCAGGGGAGATGGGAGGTGGGTGGCAGGTGGGCTGCAGCCTGCTGCTGCTGGTTGGCTGCGCCTCTGCTCCATGTCCCTGCACCTCCAACGCTGGTGCCCAGCCGTCCCAGCCAGCCGTGTCTGCCCTCCACACAACGCCTGCGCTCCCCCCCTGCCGCAGGTCTCCTGGGACGCCTTCTGCGCCTTCCCGCCTTCCATGGGCCTGGCCTGCGCCCACCGCCCAGAGTGCTGCGCCATGGGCGAAGGCTTTGCGTACCTGCACCTCAACAGCCAGGCGCGGTGCATGACCACCGCAGGCGGCAGCCTGGCGGTGGACCATGTGTTCAGATCGGAGACCCTGGATGATGACATGGCGGCGCTGTTTGCACAGATCAACCGGCGGCGGCCCACAGGCAAGCTTTCAGGCTTTTCAGCCGCGCTCGTTTTGACCTTCCGCCACTGACCTTCCGCCACTGACGAGCGCATGGCTGCTGCGACAGCGGCTTCTGGTGCCCATTGAGTGGCCCTGTGCCTCGCCTGCCGTACCTGCAGCCCTCCCCGAGCTGCTGCCGCCGGCGCCGGAGCGGGCCGCCAAGTTCAATGTGGCGGCGGGGTGCGAGGCGGGGCGGCGGGAGTTTGAGGAGTTCAAGAATGCGGGGCAGACGATTGTGACGCTGGCTGTGAAGGAGCAGTACTGCAGTACCGCCGAGTACTTTGAGCGCCACCCGCGCTGCAGGCGCCAGCTGGAACACTTCCTGGCGCCCGATTTGGCGCTGCTGCAGCTGCTGAATGGCACTGTCGCCGTGCGGCAGTAGTAGCTTGTAACACTCAGTGGCAGCAGCGCTGAGGGCTGGCGGGGTGAGAGGGAGACTGCTGCAGTTGTTGACGCCCTGCGCCGCTGCACCGTGCATCTGTGACAGAGCGCCACCCCCCTCGCGTCCCTGAGCGTCCATAAGTATTAGTATAGAATTACCATGGAGACCCCAAAGATGAAAAAAAATGTATTGTAGCAATGGATCGAGATTGCCAAACAAGGGAGGTTGGGTTTAGGCCGGGGTGGCCATCGGAGGTGGTTGGGAGGGGTGACGCAAGAGCAGCGTATCATATATTCACCTGGGGGGGATATGATCGATGGCGCGGTCGGGGAGTGGGGGAGGGTATGGACCATGTCAACGCTCGATCAATGGTGTGGGAATATAGTCGCCCCAACTGGGGGCGTCGCCAGCATATGTGCCAAGCAACTGAGCACTACATGCATGGCGCGGGAGGCTGTACACTGCTCCAGGTACAAGGTGGGTGTGCTGTACGCTGTCACTTGGGACAGCGCAAAGAAGAACGGAAGTCGGGAGTGTTGAATGGTAGCGCGGCGAGGGGAGTTCAGAGGTCCTCGCCCGCTCGCTGTCTGGTATGCTGAGCTGCGCATAAGTTATTCAACAGCTATGATGCTGCTGCCGTCCCTGCTCGCGAGGGCCCTGCTCCGGCGGCCCGGGGCGGGCGGGCCAGCGTGATGCGCGGTGCGGCGCCTACACCACAATGGCGCCGGCGGGGGCGCCGCTAGCGGCAGCGTCGTACTTGGCCATGGGCTCCTGGGAGGGAGGCTCCATGTTGTCGTCGTCGTGGCGGATGAAGGAGGGCTCCTGGTTGATGGGCAGGCCCTTGCTGGTGGGGGCAGGCACGATCTGCGTCAGGGAGGAAGGGAGCGGTGAGCATGCGGCCGCCAGCAGCTGGGCCCAGCTTGCTTGATTGCCGGCCAGCCAGGCAAGCGGGTCAGCGAAGGACCACTCAAGCAAGGGGCGGGAGCAAGAGGCCGGCCAGCTCACCATGGGCGTCTCCATGGGCAGCACCAGGTTGAGGAAGATGGCGGTCAGCGCGCCGATGCAGAAGCCTGCGAGCAGCACCCGGCACGAGCGCCCGGCTTCAGCTGTCGAGTGCCGGTGGGGCCAAGCAAGCACGACCCATGCTGCCCCGCAGGACATGGTTGAGGGCACAGCTGCTGGGGCGCCGCCAAGCAGGCCAGGGCAGGGAAGCACCAGTCTCCAGGATGGTGATGACAGCCTCCTGCAGGCCCTTCACGCCCTCGCTGCAGCCGGTGCAGGGCCACAGGGCGTTGGTCGCCCTGCACAGGGGGAGGGGGGGAGGGATTGGTAAGTGGTGTGAGGCCTGCCTTGCACAGCAGCCATGCAGGATGGCCACAAGCAGGAAGGGCCAGTCCCAGCAAGCTCACCACTGGGGCACCAGCGTGACGCCCACACCCAGAGCCATGGAGAACGCCAGGATGACGCGGTTGCGGCGGGTCAGGTGGTCGCCTGCAAGGGGCAAAACACACACACTCAGCCTCGACCACGGCTGGATGGCATGGCGACGGGAGTTGTCGAGCCGTGGAGCGCTGCTGACGGCTGGCAGGCAGGCGCGCCACCGCCTTGCTCACCGACAATGATCTTGATGCCAGAGGCGATGACGTTGGCAAACAGGAAGGTGGTCATGCCGCCAAACACGCAGTCAGGGATGGTGGTGATGACGGCAGCAAACTTGGCAATCACTCCCAGGACGAACAGCCAGATGGCGCAGGACCAGCCCGCCTGGCGGGAGGCCACGGCTGTGAGGGAGATGACACCGTTGTTCTGGGCAAAGGTGGTCAGCGGCAGGGAGGTGGCCTGCGATAGGGGAGCGTGGGGAGATGGGGCGCAGGCAGACACAAGAGGTTGAGCGGAAGGGTGATGGGTCCGGCCATGCGGCAGCCACATGGGAAGCGGACAACCACGATGGACGCATCCAGGCAGGCAGCACCGACAGACGGGCTGCCGCCACCCACCAGCGCGGAGAAGATGCCGCCGATTCCATCGTTGAGCAGGGCGCCGCGGATGCGCTTGTCGTGGGAGGGGCCCTCGGTGGAGATGAAGGAGGCCTCCTCAGTGGCAGCCACGTCACCCACGGTCTCAATGGAGGTGATGGTGAACACAATGAGCATGGGCAGTATCAGAGGGGCGTAGATCTGCAGGCAAGTAGAGCAGGCATGCCATCAGCCAGTGGGGTGGTGTGCTCGTGCAGATAGCAGTGGCGGACGTTCCGCACATCGTCCAGGATGGTAGGGCCCCGCTCACCTTGAGCGGGAAGGTGTGAACCCACAGGAAAGTGATGGCGGGCGCAGCGCTGATCTTGGCGCCGGTGACAAACTGCAGGCAGGGGAAGGACAGAGAGAGGCGCTGGGAAAAGCTGCATGGGCTGCTGCTCGTCTGCAGTGAGGGGCAACGAGCTGCGCCGTGGGTGCTACCTTCAACCTATCAGATTTGAGCCGTCAGCCCCAGGGGTGCTCACCTTGGCACCATCGTAGGTGGCAATGCCGGCAATCATATAACCGAACAGCAGGGCGATGATCACCTGCAACGACGCACGAGAGCAACAAATATGCTGGTAAGGACAGCAACCCCCCCCGGACAGTAGGCCATGGCAGCTACGCTTGCCTCCACGTTGCGCATGAAGGGAGAGCCGAAAAGCTCCAGGATGACAATCATGGAGAAGACAGCAAAGCCCAGGCCAATGAAAGCGGCAGAACCAAATGGTAGGATCACGTCGCCGTTGCGGCAGTTGATGGGCACGTTCTGCGTGCAGGAGGAGAGCGGAGCGCGGCCGGTGGTGTCAAGAGGCGCAAGACAACCCCACCCGCCCTGGGCCCCAAAGCGACAGATGGCCCTGCCCGTGCGCATCTTGCAGGCATGCGTTGCTGTTGTGGCCACAGTGCTAGGCTGCTCACGATGTAGCAGGTGTCGGTCTTGGTCTTGGGGTCGAACACAGGCTGCAGCTCGTTGGTGGTGGCGTTGACAAAGGAGCAGGCGCCATCCACAGGGATCTCCAGGCCCTTGTAGTTGTCGGCGCAGAAGGCGCCGCCACCCCAAGCCTGAGGGAGAGAGCAGGAGGGGGGGGGGGGCGCGTTGGTGAATGCAAAGGCCCCACGTCAGATGCTCCAGGCTTGCTTCTATTCAGAAGGTGCGTGGCCACTGGGGAGCAGCGAAGCACGCCCACCTTCATGCCCACACCGCACAGGTTGATGCCAATCAGCACGATGGTCACACCGCACACTACGGGGGGGAAGATCCTCTTAATGGCGCGGTGGGGCAGGAAGGAGATGGCGACTGGGACGAGGGCGCAGAGGGCGGCGGTGCCCAGCACCTTGCCGTACGCCTCGTTAAACGTCTCGCCCTCCCCAATCAGCTCTGCAGCGCAGGCGAGGCCAAGCAGCGGATATGCGTGAGAACAGGAGAAGGCACGACACAGCATTGGGGAAAGAAACGAACGGGCCAATTTGCGGAGAGGGCGCCAGCCCACATCCCACCCGCGCTCACTCTGGATGGTGGAGTTGGCGGGGGAGAAGGTGGTGAAGGAGATGCCCATGACCGACAGGATGCCCGCGCCGATCTGGCGCTTGAAGGGCAGCGGGATGGCGGTGACCTGGACCATTGTCATGATGCCGCAGATGATGAGGCCCGCAGAGATGAGGTCTGCAGCAGGCGGGGCGCGGAGGCAGAGGCGTTGGTGCCAGCGTCGACTCTGGTGTGTGCAGCAGAGCTGAAGCGCCAGCGGGGGTTGGGTGGCCAGGGAGCAACCAGGAGGGAGCAGAGGCACTGAGCCGCTCCACTCACACTGCTGAGTCTGGATGGCTTCGTCATATTCGGCACTATCCACTCCGAACATCTTCTCGGCCTCCTGAAGGGCGTTGTTGCCGATCAGGTAGGGCACGGTGGTCAGGCCTGGGCAAGAGGGGGGCAAGGCAGGGGAGGAGATGCCGGAATGAGGGAGGCAGCGGGCCAGGCGAAGCGGCTCTGGCGCATGCATGTGTGTCTCTGGAGCCACAGCGAGACGCACACAGCCCAGGGTGCATGCGGCACCCACCCGCGAGCATGGCCATAGCGTGCTGCAGGCCCATGACGGCAGCGGTGAGCAGGCCCAGCCACGAGTCCTTGCCAAAGAACTGGGGCGGCGAGCGGCGCTTGTTGCCGCGGCACCAGGGCCACTGCAGGAGCGGGCAGCGGGCAGCAAGAGTTTGGCTCTCAGGGAGGGGCAGGCCTGGCGTGTGGTGACAAGACACCGGCATAGGCCGGCATAGGCCTAGTGCGGCAAGGGGTGGCGGGATGGGCCATGTGCTCAGAGGCGTGCTGTGCCACCATGCTAGCCAGCCTGCCTCTCTACCTGGGGAGTGCACAGGTACTTCCAGTTGTAACTGCACGGACAAGAGGGGCAGGGAGGAGGTGGTGCGCCAGTCAGGAGCTGGCACTGGCGGGGCCAGTGGCGGCGTGGACGTGTTCCCAGCAGCCACTAGCATCCGGAGGTGCCGAAGGACCCAAAAAAGAGGCGGAGTTAACAGGTCACAGGAGCTGTGCACAAGGCGGTGAGCGTGTTCGGGGGTGGCAAATGGAGCATCACTCGAGTTAGGCTGGCTAGGGCACGCATGCATGGCACAGCGGGCGGGCCAGCGGCCCTGACGAGTGCATGCGGAAACTCACTCTCCAACCGTCCAGTATTTGAGGTCCTTCTTCACGGGGTAGGCCTCCTCCTTCTTCAGCCCGTCCATCTGGTCTGAGCCGTCGGTCGACATGGCGGCGGCGGCCCTGCATGGCGGCGGCAGCGGGAAGCAGATGCAACGTTCACTTACTGTCGGGGGGGCGCGGCGCCCGGCTGCTGGTATCCACCTGCCCTGTGGGTCATGCTTGAAGCCGGTGCAAGGCTGTGGGGGTGGACCCAATTGCCAGGGCAGTCTCGTGCATGAAAACTGGGAAGCGCGACCACACGGGTGCGCCAGGCACCCCTCTACATCACTGTAAGCATGTACCAGCTCCTCCCCTGCCTCCCAAGCAGCCCCACACTGCACCTTTAGTTAGGGTTAGATTGCCCTAGCTTCGGCAGGCTCCTGAACAAGCGCTGGGGCAGAGCTTGCAGGGTTTGCAAGCTGCTGGACTGACAGATTAATAAAAAGGTCTCCTGCCTGCAGCCGCCGTTTGGTGGAGGCCACCCTGGGCGATTGCCAGTGTTTCTGGCCCTCGTGGCAGCTTTGGCGATGGGCGGGCGATGAGGACTGCTGTCGCGTCCAAATTTCGCCAATCAGCTGGCGATGGCACATTGAGGATTGGCGAAATGCGGGGGAGCCACCCTTGCGCCTGGCACAGCGCAGCGGCCACATGCGGCGCCGCTGTTGCTTTGTCGGCACTTGCCTCCCTTTTGGGGGACTGGGGGCGAAGCCCCCAGCAAGCTGGCGCTTGTTTAACACTATGGAATGAAGTTACTGAGGAAAATTGGCCATTTCTCCTCAAAATATTGGCGATGTCAGTCATGGGGGCTGGCGACGCGCTGGCGATGTCGCCCCGCCGCCTGCCCTCATTTAGCCAGCTCTGGCTGGCGATGGCCTTCGGCCAATCGCCAGCCAGAGCCGTTTTTTGGCCCGATTTCGCCGGCATTTGGCGATTTCGCCAGCTTTCAGAAACACTGGCGATTGCAAATCCAGTGCCACGTGGCACCCACGTGCAGTCCTGCATGCGAACCTGATGCATTCCCATGAAACAGGAATCGATGCTGACCCCCTGCCGGATGGCTGGAGCGAGCAGGGTGTGGGCGCACGTGGAGGCCTGTGCCTGCGGACCCCGGCGGAGCCCAGCCTCCTGCTGCCCGGGTTCCCAGCCAGCTCCTCCAAGAAGAAGAGCCCCCTGATGTGACTGTGTCCGATTTACATGTATCCATCCATGGATAAAAGGCAGGCAGTAGTGGTATAATGTGCAAAGCAAGCTGCAAGTTGCGCAGCGGCCGGCGGGTGCTAACTGCGGTGCGTTCCATCCCGCCCCGCTCGGCAGCGGTCACAGGTCGGGTGAGCCCACCGCGGCGCACACCCTCGCCGACGCCGTGTTGTGCTCCCGAATCAGCTCCTGCATTGTCATGGTGTCAGGCATGCAAATATGGGCAGCTGAGAGATGGATGCGTTGAGAGGCAAGATGCCAGCCCGTCGGCGTTATGGAGCCCCTGCCCCCCCTGCCCCCCCATGCTGCATGCTGTCCCCACCCTGCTCCCGCACACCACCACCACCACCACACCCGCAAGCCATGCCATCTGTTGGGCACCGCCCACCACACCACCATGCTGCCTACGCCACGGGCTGACCTCGAGGTCACACGTCAGCAGCTTGCCGTCCTGGATGATGGGCTCGCCGTTGATGACAGACAGGTCCACGGGGCCGGGAGTGCACAGGATGAGGGCACCCACGGGGTCGCCCAGCCCACCCGACAGCGCCACATTGCCCGTCAGCTGCAGGTGCGGCATAATGCGGGAGGCAGCAGGTGAGCGGCAGCAAACGACTGAGCGGCTCAGGCCTGCAACGGAGCGCTGCTGGTTGGTGGATGTAGGCAGGCAGCACGCAAGCGGACATCCACCCACCAACCCACCTTCCAGCCCACAAAGTCTGCGGCATAGCCGGGTGCCAGCCGGCCGATGTCGTCGCGCCCCAGGTTGCCGGCGCCGCCCTGGATGGCAATCTCGAGCGCCTCTCGCACCTTCATGCCCTTGACGTCGCCTGCGCCAGCGCACGCCACACAGGAGCAGGGCACAGGGCCAGTCTGGCACCAGAGCCAGAGGACAGGCAAGAATGCTGGCCAGTCACCCAAGGGCAGGCTGCTGTGCCGGCAGCTTGGGGCGCAGGTGACATGCTGGCATGAGGAGCAGGCAGCAGCAGGGTGGGGCCCTCACGCAGCAGGCCGCGCTGCAGCAGCAGCGCCCAGCGCGCTTGCTCCAGCAGGTTGCCGCTGTCGTTGCTGGCGCAGCCATCCACGCCCAGCCCCACATTCACGCCCTCGTCCCGCAGCTGGCGCACCGGACAGATGCCTGCAGCGCGGCGGGCAGGTGCGGCAGGGGAGAGAGTCGGCGGGAGGAGATGCGGGTGTGTGGTGCAGTGCGGGGAAGCATTCGTGCCTTGGGTGTGGTGGGCTAGTAGGCAGGCTCGACAGGCAGCGCATGGCACCAGGCTGCTCTGGCAGGAGCGCCACCAGCGGTGGCGCAGCTGCTCAACCCAACCCACCCGAGGCGAGGCGGGCATTGGATGAGGGGCAGTGCGCCACGCCCAGGCCGCACTCTGCAAACTGCTTGCGCTCCCCCTCATCCAGCATCACGCAGTGCGCAAACCAGCAGTCGCTGCGGTCCCAGCCCACCTGCCTGCAGGCAGGCAGCAACGGCGTCGGGATGGCAAGAGGCAGGCACAGGTCGGCAAGTCGGCAGCGTTGGCTCGCCCGGCCAGCCAAAACACCTGATGCAGGGGCCAGAGGCCAGGCCAGGGCGCCGCCATCACCCTCCTGGCTCCCGGCACAGGGGCAGCCTCCAGGCAGGGCAGGCTACTCACTGCAGGTAGCGCCCCGGGCGGCAGCCATAGGTCTTCTCGCTGTAGGTGATGTCCTGATGGTTCTCCGCCAGGTGCGTGTGCAGGCGCACCTGCTGGTACTGCCGGGCCAGCTTGGCAGCTGAGTGGACAGGTTGGAGGGGAGGGAGAGGTGGTGGTGGGACGGGCAAACGGGGAGGGCAGAGCCAGGGCGAGGCAGCCGGCCGGCCCAGCCAGCCGGTGACACGTAGGCAGGCACGTGGCGGCGTCAGCAGCAACCGCGGCTCCGCCACCAGCAGCAGTGCGTCTCGGGCGGCGATGCGGGCTGGCAGAGTGGTGGCGCGCCTCACCTCCCTCCATGCAGTCGTTGGTCACGCTGAAGGGGGAGCATGGCGCGATGCCGACGCGCATCATTGAGTATCTGCAATACATGTATGTGTAGATGCGTTGGTGTGCATGTGTGGGTGGTGGTGGCGGCAAGGTGGTGGGGCAGCCAAGGGGAAGCTGCCAGGGCGCTCACTTCTCGGGGTCGTGATACTGCTCGATCAGGCGCTTGGCATCCTCCAGCGCGCTGTCGGTCTCCTCCACCACATTGTCGGGGGGCAGGCCGCCTACAGGTAGGGTAGTGGCTGTGTGTGCGTATGTGTGTGCGGGTGGGGTGTGTGGTTGGCAACTGTGCCACCAGGATGTCAGCGCCGCTTGGCTGCCACAGCTCCCTGCTGCAGCCGGTGTTCCCCAGAGGAGCCATGCCCCATCTAACCAGCAGCAGCGGTGGCAGTGTCGGGCGGGGCCCTACAGCCCCTTCCCTGCCACCTGCTGCCCACCCACAGGGCACGTGCCCCCCGGCCCGCGCACCCTTGCTCTTGCCCAGCGTCATGATGCCGCGGGTGGGGTGGAAGCGCATGCCGATCTCGCGGGCGGCGCGGATGGTGTCGTCCAGGGTGACGTCGTTGGGGTAGATGTAGAGGTGGTCTGCGGCGGGTGGGAGGGGATGCAGGTGAGGGGCGGCAGACAGGTGGCACCAGGCGAAGACCCAGGGAGGAGCTCCGAGGGCGAGAGGCGCCCCACGGTGCGGCCGGTGGGAGGGGAGGGGAGCGGCCAGCAGGCCAGGCGCCGCCCTGCGTCCCTCCCGCAGTCCCGGCTGCGGCGCACCCGAGGAGCAGGTGCAGCCGGAGAGGAGCAGCTCGGCCATGGACAGCTTGGCTGAGATGTAGACGTCGTTGGAGGTCATGGTGGCCCATGCTGGGTACAGAGAGGTCAGCCAGTTGAACAGCGGGGAGTCCTGCGGCAGGCGGCAGGGGAAAGAAGGGAGGGTGGCGTGAGCATGACGCAAGGGTGAGGGCGGGGAGAGTCTCGGTTGTGTGGCGAGTGGAGAGTGCACGGGCAAGCGCCTGGGCGGCCCACCTGCGCGATGCAGCGTGTCAGGCTCTGGTACCTGCAGCAGTGTCGGGCTAGGATGTAAGGGTTGTGGGGGGCGCATGGTAGGGCAGGGGCACCAACATGCATGGCGATTGCGCCGCAGCCAGGGTTCCCGCCGCAGCCAGCCCCACTGCCTGGCGGGCGGCGCTCGCTGCTCACATGTGGTGGTGCGTGTTAACCATGCCCGGGATGATCACTTTGTCGCTGCAGTCCACCACCTGCGCAGCCAGGTTGCAGCAGGGAAGGGGTGGGGCCAGGCGGGCTCGCCGCGCAGCGGCCGGGGGGGGCGCCACCAGGCGCCGCCGCTTAGGGCTCTCGCCACCTCGGCAGGCCATTTAGGACGAGGGCCTCCGACGCAAACCCGCCTCCCCGGCGTCACTGGGCGCCGCGGCCTAGTGGGCGTCCCTCCGCTCACCGTATCAGCAGATCTAAAATCGGTCGGCAACTCGCTGGTGGGTCCCACCCACTTGATCACGTTGCCATCGACGTAGATCGCCCCATCCTTGACGTCCGCCTGCTCCGTGAAAGTTGCGATGACGGTGGCATTCCGGTAAAGCGTGGTGCCTGCCTTAACGGGCCGCTTCTCGCCACCACGCTGCTCGGCCATGCTGTTCGGCGATGTGGGTCTGCGAGCTGGGTCGCCCGTGGGGCCTGTAATGACTGCTTGCAGTACACAAACAAAGTGCAGTACACCCTGCCGCCGCAGATGTTTGCAGGGCACTCAGACATGCTGTTTGCCGTTATTTACTGCTACACAAGATGAAAATTGGCTTCCAGACAGTCAGCCAGCACCAGCTGTGCTTTGGGTGCCACAGCGGTACCACAAGAAGCAAGAACAGCGAGCTAGCATAGTGTGGTTCACGGAAAGAGCTCAAATCTGCGGCCGGCCCACCCTGCCCAATGCAGGCAGTGATGCAAGCCGCTCAATATACAGCGGTGTTCCGAGGCAGGACGGGCCTCACTCGGCGGCTACCTCTGCCACCCCGGCCTCGAAGGTTGCTCCGTACACCTTCTGCGCCTCCGCCATGGCATCCTTGGCCTCCGCTGCAGGGAGCAGGCACAGGAGACTCAAGCATTAGAGGCGAGCGGGTTGGCATATTACAAATCACCTTCCAACCCATGTGGCCTGCCCCTGCTCTCACAGCAATCCTGAACAGCAGCTGCCCACCTGAGTCTGCTGCATACAGGATCTTCTCCACAATGCGGATGGCAGGGATCTCTTGCAGCTCCGGCGCCTGGCACAAGATCTCGATGTCCCGCAGCTTCTCAAAATAAAAGTCGCGCTCCCGCTCCGCAGTCTCCACCCGCAGCTTGAGCTCCGTGTTCTGCGACAGGAAACCGAGGCAGGCGGGAGCGGGCAGCCCAGGGCAAGAAGCCAGGTCAGTGTGCCGGGCAAGGGCGGCCAGCAAAGCAAGCTGGCGGGCAGCCAGCTGAGAACAGCAGCGGCATGTGCAAGACACCCAGCTGGCATGAAAAAGTGTTGCAGCGCCATCCAACTGGCTGGCATGGCCAATGGGCAGGCGAGCAGCACACGCGCAACCAGCAGCAGCAGTGGTGCAAGTGCCTGAAGTGTGCACCTGCTCCCGCAGGCCATCCGCCTCCTGGTGCGCCGCCTCCAGCTGCTCTAGCGACGCGCTGCTGGCCCGGCTGGCCGCTCCCGACCCAGGCAGCGACTTGCCCGCGCCCCGCGACAGCGGCACCTTGGCAGCAGCAGCCGACGCGGAGCGCGGCGCCATGGGCGCCGGGCCGCGACGCACAGCAGGGATGGTGGCAGACTGGCCAGCGCCAGAGCCCAGCGAGAACTGCACAGCCGGCAGCAAGTTGGATGCTGCTGCTTAGCGCCTGCCGAATGCCCATCGAGTGCCCAGCACAAACAGCAGCGAGCACGCCACGCCGCTGCAAGGCCAACCTCCATGGCTTTGCCCCGGCCTGCCAACGATGCAGCAGCAAGGCACAATACCGCGTAAAGCGGGCGGGCGCCCGCCTGCTGCGCTGCCGCCGCAGCCCGCACCTTCTTCCAGTCGCCGGAGCGGCACAGCTGGCGGCGTGCGATGGGGTCGTAGTCCTCGATGGGCAGCCCCCCCGTGACCTGCTGCCAGTAGCCGTAAAACCACTGCATGAACTCCTGGTTGTCCTGCAGCTTGCCCTTGCTGAGCGCGGTGGGGTGGAAGATCTGCGGTGGGCAGCCGGGGTGCATGTCAGCGCACCTGGACGGCCGCGGCGCGAAGCAGACGCACAGTGCCAGCGCAACACCGCAGCCCCAAGCAGGCCGCAAACCGCTGGTCAGCCACGCCGCCCCACACAAACACACAAGCGTGCACACCTTGTCGATGTGGCACTCGGTGAACGCCTTCTGCAGCTCCTTGTAGTTGCGCACAAACTCGTAGTCGTTTTTGAGGTTGAAGTCCACCTTGCTCATGTTGATCACGTCGGGGTGAAGCGCGTCCATCAGCTGGCACGCCACCGCCCCGCTGCACGTCTGCAGCGGCAGTGCATGGTGGGCAGAGAGGGAGGGGGGTGATGGGCATGGGCTGCTCTTGGCTGGGTGCGCAGCCAACTGCACAGATATTGCTCGAGGCGCAGACATGCAATATCTGGCCTGGCGTCTGCCAGCCGGCGACAGCCAGGGCCGGCGGGCCGGCGGGAGGAGCACTCACGTCCTCCACCCGCTCCACCCGCAGCTGCAGCGCTCCGTTGATCCAGCTGAGCAGCGTCTGCTTGCCCACAAAGTTGTTCTCTGCAGCAGCGAGGGGAAGTGAGTGGTGGCGGGGTCGCTCCAGGCGGGTCGTGGGCTCCTCTCTCCCGGCCTTTGCGCACCAGACATCATGCCTCTGGTCGCCATGGCGCCTGGTGTTTCGATCGGGCCGCTTCAAATCCTGCTGGAGGTGGAGCGGCAGGCCGTTTTGCCGTGAATAAGAGACAGCCGCTTCAGAGGCGTGTGGGAGGTGAACAGCTGCCGACATCCTGATGTCGGCTCTTCGCAATGCGGTCCACGTCAGGCGCCGCCATGTCCACCGCAGCAGCGAGGACCTCGCATCCGCCCTCGCAGCATCCATCATTCCCTGCTGCATCTGGAGCCGGTCAGCACTCCCGCCCTGGTCCAGGCGCGCTGCATCTGCAGGGTGGTTGCCCACTGCTGTTATTCAAGATGGCTGGCATTCGTTCACCGTGCCAAGTGTTTGCGTCAGCCAGCCTAGCTCTGCCTGCGCCCAGCAGAGGAGCGGCGACGGAGATGCCCATCTTCGAGTTGGGGGAGGTGGCCACAGTGAACAGGCTAGCCCCCGCCTACCTGGCTACTCACAAGCCCATAGCTCTGCTGGCCCTTGTGCCCAGGGCGGCGGTGCTGTTTGGGGCGGGGGCGCTGTCGGGCGCCATTGCCAAGTCGCTGACCGCGCCGCTCGACCGCGTCAAGGTGCGTGGTGCTGCCTGCACCTTGAGCCAGGGTGAGCGTGGTGAGCAGGGTGAGCAGGGTGAGCCAGGGTGAGCAGGGTGCAGTGGCATGCTGCTGGCTGTGGCAGTAAGAGTGTGCCGGGCGCCTGGCTGGTCAGGCAGCCTGTTGCCGCTCGTGGAGGCACCGCAGCCAGCGTCGTTCCGCCGCTCCACCCGGCCGTCGTTGCCCGGCTCTTGCGCAGATCCTGCTGCAAGTCAAGGGCGGCATGCAGAAGGGCGCCATTGCAGAGGCCGCCATCAAGGGCAACCTGGTCCAGGCGTTCCTGGCCATTGGCAAGGAGGAAGGGCTGATGGGCTACTGGAAAGGGAACCTGCCTCAGGTGGCGCACCGCTGCCGCCCTGAGCCGCCACCGCCATGCCCGCATGCGTGTGTGCATGGTTTTGCGCGGCGCGGACCCTCCTCCTCCCTCCTCCTCCTGGCACCCCAGGACCCAACATGGGCCGGCTCTGCATGCTGGCTGTGGCTAGATGGGCCCGCCGGCACTCCTGTGTGCCACCCTGGCATGCTCGCAGCCACCTGCGTGCCTTTCCCCTCCCCTGCAGGTCATGCGTGTGGTGCCCTACAGCGCAGCGCAGCTCTGCTCTTACGAGGTCTTCAAGAAGCTGTTCCAGGATGAGGAGGGCAACCTGTCGGTGCAGCGGCGGCTGGCGGCGGGCGCCTGCGCAGGCATGACCGCGACGCTGGTGAGGCCCGTGCTCAGGCCAGCCTGCTGGCGGAGCAGCCAGTCACCAAGGCAGACATCACGTTGTTCGCTTCCATTTCCCTCCTTTGTTAAAGTCAGCTGCACCCTAGGCGGTTGATGTACCGATGCGGCTGCATCGGCCCACCATCGGCCCACATTGGCACACACCTCCCATCACAACCCCTGCCTGCCTGCCTGCCTGCCTGCCTGCCTGCCCTCTGCCCCTGATGCAGCTCACCTACCCGCTGGACACGCTGCGGCTGCGGCTGGCTGTGGACCCCAAGCTGCGCGGCGTGCAGGGCGCCATCACCGTGCTGCTCAAGGAGGGCAGCGGCGCCGCCTTCTACCGCGGGCTGGGAGCATCCATGCTGGGTCAGTCGACCCCGCGCCAGCGGCCCACTCGCCGGCTGCCGCCATTGCGCTGCTCCGTCCTCCGGCGCGCACCCACCCACCCTGAGCATCTCTCACTCCTGCCCCTCCTCCCCTCTCCTTCCCGCCCCCTGCAGGCATCGGCCCCTACATGGCGCTGGAGCTATCCAGCTACGACCTGCTGCCGCAGAGCATGCCCTCCTTTGCGCGCGGCTTTGCCGCCGCGCTCATCGCAACCGTGTCCTGCTACCCCCTGGACACCGTGCGGCGCCACATCCAGCTGCAGGCGGGGCGGTCGGTGGCCTACCACACCGCGGCGGCCGCCATCCTGCGGGACGACGGCATCGCGGGCATGTACCGCGGCTTTGTGCCCAACGCCCTCAAAAACCTGCCCAACAAGGGTGCGCGCCCGCCCGCTGCGCCGCGTTGCCAGTGGCGCTTGCTGCCTGGCAGGATGATGCATGCCATTGCCAGGATTCTGTCAGTACCACGCCTGGGGAACTCATCTCCGTGCCTGGCGTCCCCATTGCCCATGCAGGCGTCAAGCTGTCTGTGTTTGATGGCGCCAAGAAGATGCTGACCAAAGCGGAGGCGGCGTATGATGAGCAGTGCGTGGCGGAGGGGGTGCCGCCGCCCAAGCGCGAGGAGTGGCGGCCGGCGGGCAGGGCTCGCAACGGCAATGCAGGCGGCAAGGGTGGCGCGCAGCCAAAGCAGCCCCCGCGCAAGTGAGCGGCGGTGCGTCCCGGCTGCCTGTTTGATCGCAACATGCTAGACAGACCGCACTTGAACGTGCCATTGGCCAGCTCTCAATTGCATCTATGTGTGACGGCCATGTGACCAAGATTGCCAGGCACAGCGCCCCACACTGCCAGGCTTGATGTTTTTTCCGAGCGCAGTTTGCCATGCTTTGCCTGACCCCCTCATGCTGCCCTCCAATGCTTGTCCTCTGCCCCGCTGCTGGTTCCCTTGTGTTGCTCTCTTCTCATGCCATGTGCTGCCTCACTTGTCGTGCATCTGTCTCCAGTCCTGACCTTACCGTTTCCTGCAAACCAGCACTGCTGCCTTCTTTTGACCACAAACCTTCTCGCCAATCAACTCTATCTTTCGATTGCAACCTTCGACACTTTCTTACTGAGTGTAAAGGGTGTCCACTGATATGTCAAACCGCAGGAAGCACTGGGCAGCGCATGATAGGAAGGGGTCAAGTCTGGCGTTGCTTGCCAGTCAATACTGGTCTGTGCTGCTCTCACCGCCGCTGCTGGTGATGCAGCTGGGGCCGCTGCTGGGCGCCGCCGGGCTGCCGGCAGCCTTCAGCGACAGTCCCTTCCAGAAGCCGTTGCTGGAGCGCTCCGCATCGGGGGCCCAGTTGCGAACCAGATCCCTGCAGGTTGACAGAACAGTGGCCCTCCAAGGCCGCTGTGAGGGGTCCCGTGACGGGGCTGATGGCAGACCACAGCGTAGGCACAGCAGGCTCACCGCAGGGCTGAGCTGTCCAGGCCGGACGCCTCGCCGCGGTACTTGGGCATCTCCCGCTGCAGCGCTCGCATCACCTCCGTCTCGTGGCACCGCCCCCGTCGCTCCAGCCGCTCGTCGGCAAACCTGCCAAACTCCTGCCACTGCTGCTCCTTTGCTTGCGCCTCCTCCACCGACAGGCGCCGCGGGCGCCCCACCTCATACATGCCGGCCGCCATGCAGGAGCCCAGGCCGGTGCTGACAGCCCAGGTGGCGTCGCCCAGCAGGGCCTGGAAGGCAGCCGACAGTGCCAAGCCGCTGGCGCCAAACACCGCCACCGCTGCCGCCTGCAGGCCTGCGGGCACCCGGTAGTCAATTGCGTCGACGCTGCAGGGCGCGGCAGGCAGGTCAGCAGCAACTCAGCAAGTGACTTAACCCCCAGCGCAGCACTGCGGCACAAGCCATGCAATGAGCAGCAATGCACGGGCAGGCGCCACACAGGGCAGGCAGCACAGACGGGTGTCCAGCGGCGAGTCAGGCTCACTTGAGGCCGGCTGTCCTTCCCAGCTTTTGAAGGAGCCAATCGGACGGCCTTTCCACCTCAATTCTTCCTAAAAAGAGCAGGAGTAGCTGCAAGACAAAGCAAACATGGGATGAGGGCAGGCGCTACGAGGCAGTCATGCCCATGCTGCGGACAGCCAATGAGTAAATGCACCTGCCACGGGCTACAGAACCACAGGGAGACGCCCCACAGCAGGCTGCCTGCGACGTCGCCAGCGCCAAAGCTGCCATCCCATGCTCCCAGGTCCCAGGCGTCGGCATCCTGGAAGGCGTCGCCTCCAAGCTTGAGCGCCAGAATCACCAGCAGGGTCAGTCCTATACCTGCACCCAGGGTTCACCTCGTGATTACTGCTGCAGGAAGCAAGAGAGCGGCCTGGCAGCACTTACCAACGCCCAGCACAATCTGCTGGTCATCCTTGCGCTGTTGACGATCGCCCCAGCTGTTGCCGCCGCCTGGCCTGCGGCCGCCAGGCCCTGCAAAGACGGCAGCGCCGCGCCGCCGAGCCAGGTGGCACCGCCGCGGCGGCGCGCTTTGAATGCCACCACTGGGGCGCCGTTGGGACAGCGTGATTGCTTGCTGGCGACCATGGCCTGCCTGCAAGCGGGCTGCGAGTCCGGCTGGGTGGCCTGCTTTGAGGTTCGGCACTGAGGCCGAAAGGCAGCCCCGTGCAAGCCGCACAGTGCTTGACATTGTGGTGTCGCACTTGCGGCTGTCCCACAAATCAGTGATCGAAGCTGCAAGACAAAGAGCCCTCGCTGAGATCACCACCTGCTGCCGAGTTGGCAAGTGTCGTTCATCGCCAGAAAGCTGCTTCTATCGTTTGGTCAACCACCATTGCCGATGCTAGCGACACCAATGCGCTGTGCCACGGCTGTGTATGTGCAGCCAGCAGCCTCCTGCCTGGCCCCTGCAAGCCGGGCGGTGGTGAGCTGCCCTGCAACACAAGGACGGCTCAACCGACAGCAGAGGCCCAGCAGGCAGCGCGCTGCTGCCCGTATAGCAGCGGCGGCGGTGGCGGCAGCGGGTGGCAGCAGCAGACCCACCGTCCCTTCGCAGCTGCAGCAGGAGCAACCTGTGCTAGACTGGCTGGTGCGGCGCCATGACACCAGCCCGGCCTGCTTGAAGGTAGAGCGGCGGTATGTGGACGAGGACGTGGGTTACTGTTTGGTGGCCACCGCTGACATCGAATCAGAGGAGGTGTGCTTCTCCTGCACTGCCACAGCAGGCAGCGACCAGCAACTGCATTTGTCTTGCTTGCATGGCTGCACGCATGCGCCAGCCTGTCCCTCACGCGTGGTTTCACATGCCGGGGTGCAGGTGATCCTGTCGGTGCCGCTGACGGCGGGCATCACGTCTGAGGGCGTGGACGAGTCTAAGTGGAGCACGCACATGGCGCTCCAGCTGCTGCGCCTCCAGGCCCAGGCAGCAGACGCGGCGGCGGCTGGGGATGCAGCAGCCCTGGCCACCAGCGTGCAGCCGTGGCTGGACGCGCTGCCAGCCCATGTGGACCTGCCCTGGCTGTACTGGAGCGAGGAGGAGATGGCGGAGCTGCAGGACGAAGATACAGTGGCAGAAGCGCAGCAACTGAGGGCGGTCTACGAAGACGCCTGCCAGGTCAGCGTGGTCGCCACGCACAGCATGGCCAGTGGCAGGGTGCTGGGTCTGCTCTGGGAAGCAGGAGTGTATGCTGGGTGTGTTGCCCACGTGCACCAGCCTGAACCGTGCGTGAGACCGGCTTCCTCCCCGCCCGCAGGAGGTGGAGGGGCGGTACAGCCGGCAGCAGGTGGCCTGGGCGCTGTCCCAGGTGCACAGCCGCAGCTTTGTGACGGCTGGGTCGCACGTGTGGGTGCCAGGCATCGACCTGTGCAACCACACCCTGCAGCCCAATGCAGACATTAGGTGGGAGGCGCGGCCTTGGGGCTGGTGGTGCGCAGATGGCCGGCTGCTGATGTCGGCTGCGGTTCCGAGCCAGGAGCCTGCGCAACTCACCCCCAGCCCTCTGTGCCATGGCATGGTGCAGGTGCATCCACAGCCCGGGCAGCTGCCAGGGAGTGGATGCGTTAGAGGAGGTGTGCCCGCCCGCTACTGCGGCCGTGCAGAGCCAGGAGCCCAGCCGGTTTGAGCTGGTGGCGGGCGAGGAGGGCATCGCGGCGGGCCAGGAGGTCACGATCAGCTACGGCAGCTGGCCCTCGGGTGCGTGGCCAGTGTCGCAGAGTGGCAGGGTGGAGGCAGGGGTCAGGCGGTGTGCAGGGGGCTGTTGGTGCATGTGCTCAGCTGTACCCGTATCTCTCTGTGCGCCAGCGGCGCATCAGAGCAGACTCCCTCACCTCCTGCTCCTCTGCTGTGCTGCTGGCGCAGATGTGCTGCTGCTGTTCTTCGGGTTCGCTCCATCCTTCAACCCCCACGACTCAGGTGCGGCCACGCAGGAGCAGCCAGCCATGGCAACAGCGGGCATGGGCTTGCTGCACGTTGGCCGTCCTGGTGCTGTGATGGGGCCTGACCTGTTTCGGATGTGCGTCGCTTGTTCTTCTTGCCCACCGCAGCGGTGTTGTTCTACGACATCTTCGACCTGGCCTCCTTCAAGCAAAGGTTAGTGGACACGCCCGGCGGCAGCGAAGAGGCGGCGTGGGCGCGTGTCGTTGAGGCGGTGCAGCAGCTGGAGGCGCAGCTGGGGCCGCAGGCTCAGTTCTATAGGTAGGCAGGCGGGCAGGCAGGCCGCTTCGGCAAGCTGGATGGTGGTGTGGTCATCTCATGCAGAAGATGCAGCAAGCCGCCTGATGTGCGCCTGCCTCCCTGCGCTTGCAGGATGGTTGCCACCGCTGCCGGCATCGACTCGCGGCTGCTCCAGGCGGCGGAGGCGCTGCTGCTAGCGGGCCGGGGCAGCAGCAGCGGGCAGCCCATGAGCCTACCTGCCTTTCTGAGGCTGCGCTGCCAGCAGCTGCTGGCGAGCTACCCAACGAGCTTGGAAGAGGACGAGCGGGTGTTGAGCGAGCTGAGAGGCGGTGCGGCACGGCTCCCGCCCCACGTCCGGTTGCCGCAGTTCGCGGCTGCAGTGCGATACAGGCAGGGCAAGAAACGGGTGCTGCATGCCACATTGGAGGGCCTGCCGCAGTGAGGCCGCCTCCCCTGTGTAATTAATAAGCTGATCGTCATGTCTGTAGCAGGGAGCAATGCCAGCCTGGCGGGTGAATGTGCCTCATCTTCCCATCAAGGCCCGATCACGGCCGTGTGGTGTTTGTTCTGTTGCCTGGTGCACGTGGACTGTGTTTTGTGGGCGACCAGCTCTTGCCAGGGCATCGCACCTCCGATCCCTCGGCACCCCTAGCCTGATCTTGCAAGGAAGGCGCATCACGCTTGATTGCAGACATGTCGTCCTTCCTGAAGACGGCCGCAAAGGCTCTTGAGCAGGAGCTGCAAGGCCTCAGGAGCCACCCTTCTCACAGCGACTCCACGGCAAGCCTGGGCGCCGCCACGAAGGCGGAGCGCATCCCCATGCTCACGTGAGTAAGGGTTTGCGGGGGTGAGAGCACCCGGCTGCTGCCGCCGCCGCCCCCCTCCACCTTCCCCACTGTCCTGCCGCATCCTACACCCTGCCGGATTTCACTCCGCATTGCTCCATGCCTGGGAATTTGTTGCTGCAGGCCCGACATGGCCGACCCCGACAAGAATGTGGATGACCTGCTGGACTCCACCTTTGCCTCACGCTACACATCCACCCCGCTCAGCAAGACTGCGTGAGCGCGGCGTGCGACTTGAGCTGGGCGGGCCGCCCAGGGCAGCCTGCTGCTGGCACGCCTGCACACGCGGCAGGTGCTCTCCTCCCACCGCCGCCCGCCCCCATTCCTCCCCGCAGGTTCCCCATCCACGGCGTCCCCGCCCACGTGGCCTACCAGCTGATCAAGGACATCCGCAAGCTGGACGCCACCCCCGCCCTCAACCTGGCCTCCTTCGTTACCACCTGGTGAGTACGACTGGCCGCGGAAAAAGAGACAAAAAAACGAAAACAATATTTTTTCTTCTTTCTTTGTTACAGGATGGAGCCGGAGGCTGAGAAGCTGATTCATGACAGTCTCAACGTCAACTACGTCGACACGGGTGAGCCCTCCAAAAAGGGAGGGTGGTGGGCAGGCGGGTGGGGTGCGCGTGTGGGACTGTGTCTCGCGCACGCGCACATGTTCGCCTGTGCGTGCTGCGCTCACCGCCTCCCACGCTTTGCCGTGCGCCTGGCCCCTGCAGACGAGTACCCCAGCAGCACGGAGATCCACAACAGGCAAGCCAGCCGGCAGCCAGCTGCAGCAGGCAGGCGGCAGGCCAGCCGTGCTTGGGATGCTGTGAGAGTGGCCTGCTGCGGAGTCCGCTGCCATCGTTTCCCATGCCTCTGCCGCGCTGCCTTTGCAGGTGTGTGACGATGCTGGCCAAGCTGTGGCACTCCCCCTCGGTGCCGGATGTGGGCCCCGTGGATGCAGTGGGCACCGCCTGCATCGGCAGCTCCGAGGCAATCATGCTGGGAGGTGCGGTGCGCTGAGCTAAGCATGCTAGGCTGTGTCATCCCGCATTCCACCTCCCCCGCCTGCTGCCCGTTGCCCACCTTGGCGCCATCTGGATTGGTTGCTTTGTTGTGCGCCGCTCTTTTTGTGCGCATGCGGCATCATCCGCTGCACCCCGCCCTGCGCGCAGCCCTGAGCCTGAAGAAGAAGTGGCAGGAGGCGCGGGAGAAGGCGGGCAAGGACATCAGCAAGCCCAACCTGGTCATGGGCGCGCAGGGTGGGTGGGCGCCGTTGTGCGGCGCGGGCTGCATGGGCCGAGAGCGGAGCTTGCCGCCTGCATGGAGCTCGCGGATTTCTGCACGCTTTGACTTTCTGGCTGGGAAGAAGCAGGGCCGCTGTACCTTTGCTACAGCGCACACTCCTCTCCCCCTCCTCGTGCCGCCCATTCTTGCAGTGCACGTGTGCTGGCAGAAGTTCTGCCGCTACTTTGATGTCGAGGAGCGGTACGTGCCGGTGGCTGAGGGCCGCTATGTGTCCACACCCGAGCTCATGCGCCCGCTCATCGACGAGAACACCATCGGTGGGTGGGTGGCAGGGACGGGTACAGGTGGACATGCGGGCCAGCTGGGGGCAGCCCCACCTCGTGGAGCACGGCCGGCTGCCCCCGGTGAACGGCTCATCAGCCCCATCACCACCAGCCGACGACCCACTCATCCTGCCTGGCGCCGCTGCTGGTGCAGGCATTGCGTCGGTGTTTGGCAGCACCTACAATGGCGAGTTTGAGGATGTGGAGGCCATTGACGCGCTGTGCACGGGTGGGTTGTGCTGGTGGTGATTATTGTTCGCCATGGCGTGGCAGCGGCAGGAGGGCAGACGCAGGTATGCCTGTGCACGGTGCTGCCTGCTGCCCCCGCACCCCAGCCCCCGAGCTGTGCCCCTGCCGCCTGCAGAGCTGAACGAGAAGAACGGCTGGGGGCTGGCCATCCACATTGATGGCGCCTCGGGCGCCTTTGTGGCGCCCTTCATCTACCCGGAGCTCAAGTGGGACTTCCGCCTGCCCAACGTCACCTCCATCAACGCCTCGGGTGCGCCTGGTGGCCTGGGGGGGCCGGTGGCCAAGTGCGCCAGGTGGCGGTGGCTGCTGCCTGGGGCATGGCTTGGCTGAGGATGCCCTGCAATATGGCGGGCTGCTGCTGTGGCCGCGGCCATGACCCATGCTCCCTGTTTGCTGCTCCGTGCAGGCCACAAGTACGGCCTCGTGTACCCAGGCCTGGGCTGGGTCATCTGGCGCGACCCCAAGCACCTGCCCGGTCAGCGCTCGGGCTCACCTTGCTGAGCGGCCCTGCATGAGCTCCAAATGTGTGTGCTGCTGCGCTGGCAACCCCGCTGGCAAAGCCTCTGCAGTTACACCTTGGCTATTGGCCGCCTGCTGCCCGCAGAGAGCATGGTGTTCTACGAAAATTATCTCGGAACTTTGGAGCGCTCGATCACGCTCAACTTCTCCAAGCCCGCCACCAATATCATCGCGCAGTGAGCCCCCCCACCCCACTCTTTTTGGTACTGCTCATCATCATCATCATCAGCAGCAGCAGCAGAACTGCACTGGCGCCACCAGGCGTGGTGGACGGGCGGCGGGCGGCCAGCCATGCCCATGCGACCGCTCTCGGAAGTTGAATGCCTCTGGATGGGTCGCCCCTTGTGAGCCTGCCCAACCAGGCTCCCGTGCCTGATCTGCACTGCACCTCTCCGGCATGGTACCGCAGGTACTACCAGTTCCTGCGCCTGGGCTATGCCGGGTACCGCAAGATCATGACCAACCTGGACATCATCCGCAAGCGCCTCATCAACGCCATCAACAAGACGGGTGGGTGGGCATGGGTGCGGGGCATGGGCGCGGCTGGTCTGCCTGGCCTGCCTCTGCCTCTCCGACCATGCCATCATGGATGGATGCCTCGGCACCATGACGCGCTCCGTAGCCCCCCACACCATGTGTCGCGCATACCACACGCTCACATCCACCACCCACCCACTGCAGGCCACTTTGAGGTGCTGTCCAAGGAGGTGGGGGTGCCTGTGGTGGCCTTCCGCCTCAAGAAGGTACTGGGCTCGGACGGCAAGGAGCATCGCCGGCTGTACGACGAGTTTGCGCTGGCAGACCGCCTGCGCATGCGTGGCTGGGTGCTGCCGGGTGAGGCCTGCCTGCCCGGCGTGCGCAATCCCGCTGGTGGCCTGGGAGTGCCAACGCAGCTGCCGCGCAGCTCGTGGCTGGGCAGGCTGGACCGCATGCCGCCCATGCCTTCTGAACCCCCAGGTCCCTCGCCTTTTCCTTACCCTCCTTTGCCTCCCAACTCCCACCCGCCGCCTGCAGCCTACACTATGCCCGACGACGCCGGCCACGTCAAGCTGATGCGCGTGACCATCAGGGAGGACTTCTCAATCGGCATGGCAGACATGGTGGGCGGGCGGGCGGATGCGGCGTGGCAGGATGCCGTGCAGCCTTGATCAGGCGTGCATTGGCGACCCTGGGGCTCACCCTGCAACCCAACCAACAGCACCTGCTGCCCGCTGGCAGCCGCTGCTGCTCACCTGTGCCCAAACCGTGCCCAGCTCTTTTGCCCCGCCCGTCCCCACACACTCCTGCTGCAGTTGGTGAAGGACATTGAGGATGCACTGGAATACCTGGACAACCACTTCACCTTCAACAAGGAGGAGATGGACAGCCTGGCCAATGTGAGGACGGCCAGCCAGCCAAGCCAGCACACTGGCAAGCGCAGCACCAAACCTGCTGGGCATTGGGAGCCGAGACAGCGAGGCACAGCAGCCGCACTCGGCGGAGTCTGTACCATGCTTGACCCGACCCCAACCCTTCCCCCTCTTGGCCCGCCGCTACGGTGCAGTTGGCCCTCGGCCGCCGCCTGTCCCGGCTGGACACCAGCATCCTGGCCGCCGCCGCCGACATCTCCAAGCAGTCGGTGCGCCCCTGCTGAGCGGCAAGCCACGCCAAGCCACCACAACGGAGCGGGCTGAGTAGCTCGCGATGTTGCCACCACCTTCAGTACTGTTGATTATTGAGCTGTTGAGTCCTATTTGTGTTTTCCTTGACGGCCACCAGAGCGGCATGCTGCGCCCGGCGAGCCTGCCGTGCCACTGCTCTGCCACCTGCCCTTGTCCCTATGTCCCCTTGTCTTCAAAGCAGTGACACAGCTTTGACAAAGTTTAAATTCAATCCGTTTGGCAGGCAAACGGTGGGTGGATCACAGGGATGGCGCCCGGCACCCGGCGACGAGCGGCAGATGGGGCGGTGGAGCAGTATGATCCCGCCACCAGGTTCCTCTACGTCCCACACACAGTGACCTTCCTCTTCTTGGGTGCGGATCGGCTCATCCTGCCTGCTTCCCTCAGGCACGCCTTTCAGGCACGCGCCGGAACGGTTGACGGTAGCGGAACGATATCCACCTCCTGCAGGGCTGCTGGCGCTCGTGTACTTCAGCCACCCCCTGCACCCGGAGCGCCGCCCCGCTGACCCTGCCGCCGCCGATGCCTTGGCCTACAGCAACTCAAAGCTGGGCATCTGGGCCATGGTGCTGGTGTACCTGGGTGGGTGCCGCGCCGGTCCACGACTCGCAACGCAGGCAGCAGCATCGGATGCGCCCTGGTTTTCGCCGGGGAGCGGCGGCAAAGACCTCGCGCCTGCTGCCTGGCCGGCCCGCTTGCCTGTGGGCTTCTGTGCTGCCTGCCGCTGCTGCTTTTGCTGCTGCCTGCTGCTCGCCATCCTGAACACCAGAGGCTGCTGCCTGCCCTCCACCCCTGCAGGCTACTCTGTGGTGCAGGGCCCCAGCACCTGCATGGTGCGCCCGCACCCGGCCGTCTGGCGCCTGGTGCATGGCATCATGGTCTGTTACCTGATGCTCATGACCTACCTCCTCTTCCAGACCGTGGACGACGCCAGGCTGTTCCTGCGGGTGCGCAGAGCGCCGAGGGGATGCGGGTTCGGGGGGACGTGCTGCGACTCTGCTCGGTGGCGGGCCGGCTGTGGAGCAGTTGCTGAGGGGTGGAGGCGCCCGCTGAGACAGCAAGAGCAGGTGGAGGATGGGAGCAGGTGAGGATGGGCGTTCATAGCTGGCATCCTTATTCGCCCTGCAGCACCTGTACCCGGAGCTGGGTGTGGAGCTGCCCGAGCGGCAGTACGGTGCCGACTGCCGCCTGTACATCCCGGGGGAGGGAGTCAATTGGAAGGTGGGTGGGTGGGCGCGCTGCAGACGTTCAAGCAGCGCTGTTTTGTTGCCCGCCTGCTGCTGTGCCTGCCCCTGGCGCCGGCCTGCACCCCACGACGCGGTTCCACCCTCCCGCTCACCCACCTGCCATGGTGCACAACCCCTGCCATGGTGCTCATGCAGGCCCTCCACGACACTGTGTTTGACGAGTTTGTGGTGGCCCACACGCTGGGCTGGTGGGGCAAGGCGCTGATCATCCGCAACTACACCATGCTGTGAGCCGCACCCGCTGCCCGAGGGGGGTGGGGTATGCCTGGGGGACTGAGTATGCCGTTTTGCTGCCTCCCTGCCTTTTGCCACACACACACACACACACACACACACACACCTTACAGGCCTAGTAGATATTCGAACACAAAGCAACCAATCAACCAACCTAGCCCACCCCCTGCACGCAGCTGGTTCATCTCCATTGCCTTTGAGCTGTGCGAGAAGACGCTGCAGCACTGGCTGCCCAACTTCAACGAGTGCTGGTGGGACAGCTGGCTGCTGGATGTGGCCATCTGCAACGCAATAGGCATCTACACAGGTACCTGGTGGGGAGGGAAAGGGAGGGCGACGGGCTGGGCCCTGCAGGCGACCTTTTGCCGGTTGCCTTGCGGCGATGTCAACAACAGGGCCCTGAGGGTCGCTGCTAGTGCAGTCAGCAGATAATGGCTGGATGTGGCCGTGGCAATCTGAGCGTGTCTTGATCCGGCATCAAGCAACCTTGCCTCGGCTGCTGCGGCGGTGCAGGCATGTGGACGGTGCGGTACTTCAAGAGCAAGCAGTACAACTGGAGCGGCATCAGCGAGCAGCCCAGCCTGCTGGCCAAGGCCAAGCGCGGCCTGCTGCAGTTTACCCCCTACTCCTGGGACGACTTTGAGTGGCACGTCTTCAGCAGCCCCAAGCGCTGCGTGCAGGCACGCCCAGCCGCCCCCACCAGCCGCAGCCGCATCCTGTGCGCGTACCTTTGCCCCACACACACCTCACCCTTTGCTGCCCAACTTGTTGCTAGTTTGGCGCACCCCTCGCCCTGCAGTGCTTCTTCCCGGTGGGCATCATCCTGCTGTTTGAGGTCAACCACTTCTTCCTCAAATTCGTGCTGTGGGTGCCGCCCATCAACCCGCTCAACACCTACCGCCTCGCCATCCTCTTCCTCTTTGCCCTGCCCGGCATCAAGGTGCGTCCGCGTGATGGGTTACCCTCGCTCGCAGGTGGCTGGCCTGGATCGTGACTCTGTTGACTCCGAGCTTCTCCGTTGACCCCAGTTGCCGCTTCTCTACTCTCGACTGACCTCAGACTGTCATCCTGTACCGTCCCTGGTACCGTCCCTGGTGCTGCCGCAGGAGTATTACGAGTTCCTGGAGTCCCCCTCCCGCAACATCTTCACCAAGCTGGGCACCTTTGCCTGGCTGGCCATGGCCATCGCTGTGGTGGAGACCCTCATCTGCATCAAGTTCAGCAAGGGGTGCGCCGGCGGCAGCGCGGGGCACTGGCGGCACAGTGCATGGAAGCGCGCTGGATGCAGGGTGCAAAAAGTAAAATGGAGGTGGCGACACGAGCAGCATGGGGTGCAAGGAGCAAGGTGAAAGCAGCAGCAGCTGAAGGCATGGCCGTGCTTCACCGCCATGCTCCCCCGCCCTCCCTGCTTGCTGCCACCTGCAGGCTCTTCCCACAACCCTGGCCCCGGGAGGTGCTGGTGGCGTGGGGGCTTGCAGTGACCGTGTTTGGGGTTGTGTTTGGCACTTGGAGTTACCGTTACTATGTCAGCTCAGGCGTGGCGGCTGGTGGGGGGCGCAGAGCCATCACCACGCGGCAAAAGACGCGTTGACAAGGCAGCCCAGGTCACCTCGCCCTCGTTGCTTGCACGTGTGCCCTCGCTTTTGTATCCCGCCCTTTTTGACCAGCACTGCCACACTTGCAGTTTTTGTTCACAACCTGTTCATTACAACAAAAAGAACATTACAATGCAAAGATCAAAGAAGTCGTGGTTTGAGTAGAATCTTGCAGTTCTGGAGTCTGCAGCAATGGTGCTGGCATGACTGTGGCAGAGGAGCACGGACGACAGCAGAGGGCCTCGGGGTAGAAGGCCACCTGGTTGGGAGTGCTGCCGAAATGCGGTGGGCGGAGGGGTGACGAGAGAGTGGGGCAACATTTGCCAAGGGAATTCGTGAAGTAGGAAACAGAGAGCGCCAAGCAGAGGTGAGGACCGGAGGTGGACGCCTGATGATGATGGGTGGTGGTGGGGACGGCGGGTACGGTGGAGCAGCATGCACAACTGCGATGCGCTCGCCGCAGGAACCGGGGAGCGGTGGTCGCCGACGGGTGTTTATGCACGGGGTTGGGCTTGGTTGCCAGTGAGGAGGGAAGAAGTAGTATGAAGAGACGTAGTATGGAGAGCCCTGTCGAGACGGGCACGTGAGCGGATGGCAGCCAGACGGAAAAATTAGCATGCTGGGGAGCAGATGATGGGCGGTATAGCTTTTGCTGGGGTACATGGGGCGGGCGCCAGTGCCACGGTCTCCAAACGACCGTGGGCGCTGGTCGGCATTCGAATGCGAGGTCAGGTGGGGGAGTTGGGGCTGGCGTGGTGGAGGGGCGTGCTGGCCAGGCTGTCCAGGCTGAGGGATCCCGACCTGCGGGACAGCAGGGAGTGCAGGCTGCGCATCGAGTTCTGCTGGCCCTCGATGCTGCTGCGTACCATGGCCGAGGCGGAGGGCAGGCGGCTGAGCTCGCTCAGCGCATCCTCAAGCGCCGCCTTGCTCGACTGCTCGATGCCGCGGTTGACTTGCTGCTCAAAAACCTGCGTGGCGAGCGAAGGGGGAGGAATAGCGTGTTGGACCCTCGAGTGCCTCGCAACACGGTGAGGCAGCATGGGATGTGGGCGGGGTAGCACTCTTTCAGCTCCCAAGCTCACCTGCAGCTCGGCTGTCTGGTCGGCGCTGAGCGCGCCCATTAGGTCAAACCGCAGGGTGGCACCGCTGGGGCTGCACGCCTGCAGCTGCTGCTGGCGTGAGGGGAGCGTGAGGCTGGCTGGCGCCACGGCGGGAGCATCGGGGCGCTGCGCCAGCACGATGCTGGCGGCAGCAGCAAAGGGGCTGCAGGCTGAGGCGCGAGGCGCTAGCGCGGTGAGCCGCAGCAGCCAGGGGCAGAGAAGGAGCAGCGAGGCCTCGTCGGCAGGTGCCAGGGGTTTCAGAAGCAGCAGCGCCGCGGCTGCCGCCTTTGCCAGTTGGTGGAGCTGCATCAGCCGTGCCACCACATCCGGCGAGGTGCCCGCTGCTGACGCATAGGTGGCTGGGCGGGGGTCCTGCAGTGTCATGGGCACAGCAGGGCATGGTCAGCTGCCACTCCATGCTGCCATGCATCCCATGTCTTCCAGGTCTGCCTAAGCATGCTGCTCGGCTCCCACAGCCACACCCCACGTCTTCGCAGACCGCCGCCGCCCAAAGGCGGTCCCGCCGCCGGTGGATAGGGCACATAGCTGGCTGCACCCCCTGCGTGCACACCACGAGCATTGGGCCCCGCGCACCTGCTTGGCACAGCTCCACCAGCAGTCATCTGCTGCGATATCCTCAAGGTCGGAGGCCTCCGCCCGGTGGTGGTGGGCGGGCAGGGCGCGAGCGGGAAGCCTTGATATGCACATGGCACTCCGCCCTGGAGCGCCAGAAGGCTGCAATGGAGGCTGGGGTGCTGGCGGTCACAAGTGGTCACAAGCCAAACTTTGGTGAAGTGTGCTGAAGAGGAGCCGTGGGGGCACTGTGAGAGTGGTCTACGGACACGGCGCGTGTAGAATAAGCCCCGGGGCAGCCTCTGCGCCAAATGTGCATGCAATGGCCAGGTGGTCCGGAGTTGAGGAGCAGCTGAGCTCTCCGCCATGCATGGGCTTTCTCTCGCTGTGTGTGGGCATTGGGACCTTCTCCCGCTCCCATTCGACGCATTCTCTCCATGCAGACTTGGGCCGCCAACATCCTTCACTGCGGTGATGGGCCTCTTGTAAGCCGAGACCGGAGGGCTGGGGGCTGGTTGGTCTTGACCTCTGGTCGCCATGGATGCGCCGTGGCTGATGAACCCCGGCACAACTGCCACCGGCGGCTGGGCCTGGCGGTGCGACCTGCCGCCAGCCTGCCGACGGCCGCCTGTCCGACCGCCGCCCTGCTGCCCGTCTTATTCTCTGCAACTCTTTCCGCCCGTGTCAGCTTTAGACGGGAAGTCATGCACGCATACCATCAACACCGATTAAGGAGTCCAAACAAAACACACGGGGCGCAGGTTGCTGAACTCCTGGGACCATGTGAGGAGCACCAGCTGCATGAAAGATGCAGGGCAACAGCCGAGGCACTGCCAGGGGAGGGGAGAATAGTGGCAGTAGCAACATGAAGAGGAGGGGCAGGGAGAGGAGAATAACGCTGGAGATTGTGGCAGAGCAAGATACTGGTGACCAGGTACGAGGGGCGCTGCAAACGGTGGTGGCAACAAAAAGAACAAGAGAACAAGGGAATGAAAGTTGGAGCAACAATAGACGCCGGGAGTGAACAGTGGCGATGAGACAGGCATGGGAGTGGGGGATCACTGAGGTAAGGAGGCTGCCAGTGTAGCAAGGAGGGGCAAAACAGACCTGATTGGGAGGCAGCAAATATGTGTTGCGTTGCATCATGCATGAGCGGAAAGAAAGCTGCCATCCAATACACTGAAAAGGTCGCTGACAAGATACGGGAATGGACGACAACCAAGGCTAAAGAGAGGTTGTGTTCTGCGGGATGTCACAGTCGGGGCATGCGTTTATTGCAAGCGTGCGCAGGGCTCCGGGAACCTGTGAAACAAGTAGCTCACTTGCTGCTGTGCTCGGCCAGCAGCGCTGTGCTGGGCTGACTGGCAGCCGGCGGCAGCTGCAGCATGCCGGCCGCCACCTGGGCGCTCACAAACTCCCTGCAGACAGGGCCAGGTGCTGGGCAGAGGGCGTCAGGACCAGGAAGCCCATGCTGGCGGCCAGGCGGCCGGGGAAAGCTGCGGTCGCCACCGACACACACAGGATGGTGCCGCCCTGTCCCAGCTGCTACCGTGCTGGCAGCCCACCTGCGCATACCCGCCTCCAGGCGATACACAGCCAGCGAGGGCACGAGCGCGGCTGCCAGCTGGAGCAGGGAGGTGACTGGCAGGGTCAGGTAGGCGTGGCTGGCACGCTGGGGGTCGGAATAGATGAAGGCGTTAGCCATTGCGCTGAGGTACAGCTTCGCCAGCTGTACCAGCAGGTGGTTTGAGAACCTCAGGCGGTTGCGGAAGCTGTTGATCACCAGCGTCAGCGAGCAGCTGCCCGTCAGCGCCTTGACCAGGCTGCCAGAGTAGAAGCCTGCGGGGCGGCGGCGCAGGCGGAGGCGAGGGCTGGAGCAGCGTCAGCAGGTGCGGCGTTTGGGCATGGCCAGCCGGCTGAGAGTGAAGCACGGGAACGCTGCATGGCGCATCGCTCAACACTGGACCCTGCCACTGCGCAGGCCGTCCTCCGTTCCCACCCGGGTCAAGATAAGCGTGCACCAGCAGCACTGCAGGCAAGCGGCGGTTGCCGTGAGCAGAAGCGAGCGGCAGCGGCAGGGAGACGCCTCCCAGGGAGCAGAAAGCGTATGCCCAGCAGCCTCGGCCCCTGGGCACGACCTCGGCCTCTCAGCCTGCCCCGCCACTGAGAGAGCGCCCACCTGCGGCGGTGCAGATGCGGACGCATGCCACCACGGTGGATCGGTGCGCGATGTACCAGCGCTCCGTGTTGAGCAGCATCACAATTGCCAGAGCAAACACGGTTAGGAGGCCTGTGGTACAGGGGAAGGGGGGGGGGTGAGTGGATGTCATGGGAGCTACGAGGGCAGGCATAACCTTCTCTAAGGAGCAGGATGGGGCGCCACGAGCCTCAGGCATCCTCCAAGCAACTGTCTGCGGCATGCCAGAGCCCCGGCCCGAAGTCCCTATCGTGCGTGACCGCCAAGACGACTCCCCAGGACAGGTGGCAGGACAAGTGGTTGTGCACGGCCAGCGCTGCCACCAACGGCACCCCCAGCGCAATCCCCGATGCCAGAGAGCGCATGACTGCCAAATCTGCAGACGTGCCATGCCAAAAGGAGCGGCGGCAGGGACACGTCCTTCAAAGCCCATCAGCCAGATGCACGACTGTCTTGTCCCATCTCGCGCTCCCGCGGCCCCTACCTGTCTTGGTCTGCAGGGTGTTGAACCAGGTCTTGAAGTGCTCCTCCAGCACCGGGTCAGCAAACTCCAGGTTCCACTGCGGCAGGGGTGCAGCCGAGGCGTGAGCAGGCACGCTGCCAGCCGGGGCGGCTACCCTGGGCACGGCTGAAGGCGCTGTCGCCACATGGCGGCACAACGCATAGCGTGTCGCTATCCAAACAAGTTTCCGCCAGGGTTGGATGCATACGAGGCGAAGCTACCGTCCACCATCTGCTCACCTTTTGCCGCAACGTGGTGACGCCGTTGTGCATGCCGGTGCTGGCGGTTGGTGAGGCGGGCTGCAGCAAGGGCGCGGCTGCCGGTGCCACCTCGGCCCCGCAAGCCTCAGGCTGCAGGCACTTGGACGGGTCTGACTCGCTGGCAGTCTTGATGCGCATGCAGGTGCCAGCGGCGGCCCGTCCAAAAGGACCAGGGCTGTTCAGTGATCTGCGTGCCGCGTCAGCACCAGCGCAGGCAGGCGTGCACAGCATGCCAGGATTCTCGGCCACAGCCTCGGATGCTGCCTCAAGCGCCACAGCGGGTGCGCCGTTGGCTACAGCAGCAGCTCCGGCGGGAGCGGCGGCGGCCGCTGCCAGAGGCCCCAGGGACAGTGATGATGACAGCATGCGCTGGATGACGCGACGGGGGATGACCAGGTTCAGAAAGCCGAGCGACTCCTGCGGGAGGCGCCAGGCAACAGCAGCGCGGCCAGCTTTCGAGCAAGCGGAATGCGTTGTTGAGTGAGCTATGCGCAGGTGAAAGCTCGGTAATGATCAACACCGCCAGCAGGCGGTGCAAGCGGCAGAGACGCCGTACCTCCCACAGAAGCTTTGTGTGGTGGGAGATGGCACAGGCCAGCCCCGCCAGCAGCAGCCGCAGCGCATCCACATCCGCAGCAGCTGGCTCGGCACCCAGCGCAAATGTGGCGGCCCCGAGTGCTCCGGGGTAGCCGGGCACGGCCAGCGGCATGGTGAGCAACGCCTGCGCCGAGCTGTGAACGTGGAGGAGGCCAGCCCAGTCGGCATACTTGGTTGCCGGGCTGCACAGGCAGGGGGGGTGAGGTGAGCCTGAGATATCATGAAGGTTGCTCGCTCGGGGCCGGCTGGGCTGGGAGAACAGCTGTCCCACCTGTCCAGTCTGCGGCGCCACAGCAGACAGCGCCCGCTGCGGAAGCTCTGCCACGCCGCCGACCGCTGCGGCAGCGCCTCCCCGGGCACGTCAGGGGACCATACCAGGCTCCCCTGCTCCATAACGGGCAGGTGCACCAGCCCAGAGCCGTCGTCGCGAGCCAGGGCGAGGGAGAGGGCGCTGGGCGTGGCGGGCAGCGCGGCCAGCTGGGCCGCAACATCACCGGGAAGCGACAGGCGCATCACCACTGCCGCCGCCAGGCTCTCGCTCAGCCTGCGGGTTGCGGAGCTACGAGGGTCCTGTAGAAGAGAGGGCACGGGGAGGCTGGTGAGGCAAGCTGTGCCCCAGATGTCAAAGGTGCTGTTCGGGCCGAAGAGTGGCGGCGGCGTGCGGCGCCAGCTCCTGCTGAGCGCCCTTACCTCCTCCTCGCTGCACCCCTCCTCCTCGTTATCCCTCTCAACGAAAGCTGCCATTCCTGAGCTGAGCAGGCGCTGTTCGAGGTGGGACCGCGGGCCCTGGCGCTCGACCCCTCGTCGGCTGCCCTGCATGGCTGCTGCTCCTCTTTCTGCTCCCTTGGTGCAGCAGCGGCAGCAGCACGCGGCTGTGCCCGCTGCGAGACAGCAACTGAGCCCTGCACTGTCACTACTTCATTCTATTCACAACTGCATGATTGATTGTGCTTATCATGCCTTGATCGATCGACTAGTCACCAGCCATGCCTGGCTGGCAGCAGTACAGCCTGGCTGGCAGCACGAGTCACTAAGAGGGAGGTGAGGATTATGTCGGCGGGCGTCCGCAGCAGTACGACCAAACCCTGCCAGCAAATGTGCATTTATGCACCAAGCGCGCAGTGCTCAATACAAAAGGGCATTCGAACATAGCGAACATGAGCTTTAAATAGCCAAAACATGAATGGGCACCAACGCCAGGTCGAGCCGCACGCCGCACCACGTGCCTGCAAGCACAACTGATGCTCGCAAGGCCTGCATCCGCCGCCAGCTGCGCCTTGCGGCCCTTCTACAGGCCGTACCGCGGCGCGCCGTACCCCAGCCACGCCTTGCCCCACTCGGGCGTCCAGCCGGCGGCCCTGGGGCGCATGGGCGGCGGCACGTACAGCCTGTCGTCCACGCGCGCGCGGGGCGCGAGCAGGAAGCCGACCGCAGGCACCTGGTCAACCACATTGTCGTACCGCAGGGTCAGGTACCTGCAGGGGGAGCAAGATGGGGCGACGGGGGAGGAGGGGTGCATGTGCAGGTGCGGGGGGGAGGGGGAGATGAGGAGGCACAAGGCCCACACCATGGAAAGCAGTCTCCCTCGTGCGCTACCTGTCAAACCAGAAGAGGAAGGCAACAGAGGTGAAGAAGAGCACCAGGCCCTGCGCGTAGGCGCCCTTGGTGGCCAGCAGCGCTGCAGGGAGCGGGGCAGGGGGTGGCGTTGTGCGCGGTTTTGTGGTGGAGGCGGGGGGCAGGAGGGAGCCCAGCATGCATGGCCAGCAGCATCCAGCTGCGCATGCAGCCGTGCCCCGTCGCATCCCAGCGCGCACCAGAGGTGAAGGATGACATGACGCCGAGGCAGATGACGACGCGGTGTGCGGTGTAGATCCAGTACTGCCCCTGGCAGTCGTAGTTGGCCTGGTACACGTAGCTGCAGGGCAGGTGGGAGGGGGCCAGAAGGGGCAGAGGGATGAGCACAGCGACTGAGCAGAGCGAGGCAGGGGCACGTCGACCCGGCGGCACCGCAGGGGAGTCCAGAGCGCTGGGCTGGCTGGGGGTGGCTAGCGAGGCTCACAGCATCTGGTACCGCCAGACCGGCCACGTCAGCAGGAAGTAGAGCAGGGCAAAGGGCAGGATGAGCGGGGCCACAACTGCAGCCAGGCGAGGGGCAGGTGCGGGATGGGGGGGGCGCAGCAGGTGAGCGCAGTCTGTGCACCCGGCAGAGCCTGACGCCCAACATTCACCTTACGCGATCAAACCACGCCAACAGACACACACACACACCACCACCACCACTCACTTGCGTAGGCGAAGGTGACGACAAACACGGTGAGCTGCAGCACGCCCAGGTCACGCGAGTAGCGGCAGTTGATGGGCAGCCCCGCCGCCTCCTTGTCCCGCTCAGTCTTGGGCTCTGCACACCCAGGGCAGGGGCAGCGGGGGGCAACAGGACGCGGGCGCAGCATGCTGCGTTGACAGCCCACCCACAGCTGGAGCGTCAACCCACGGCAGGAGCACCAGGCTGTCCAGGAGATGATCAGGGCAGGCCAGCAAGATGAACAGGTGCTGCTGCCTGCTGCCATTGCATTGCTGCCAGCTGCCAGCTCACTCGGCACGAGGTGCAGCCACTTGAGGATGCCTCCAAACACGGCGGCATGCGGGAAGAAGAGGCGGAAGGTGGCCATGGCCAGAGCCCGGTAGCTCACATAGTTGCTGCAGGCGGGCAAGGCAGGCGGCCACGGCAAGAGCGGTCGGCGCTGGGTGGCAGGGCAGGCGAGGAGAAGGTAGCAGCCCGGGGGCTGGACGCCGGCAGCGAGCGCAGCAACGATACGGCCTGCAGCCGCTGGCTGGCACGCTGGGGCAGGCGCCATACGGAGCTTAGCAGCAAGCGGCAGGACAGGGGTGCTGCCCACATGAAGAAGTTGGATGAGGCTGGGGCTGCCTGGCCGAGGATGTTGAAGAATTCGCCTGCACACATGCACACGAGGCGGTGGTTTCGAGTACCACAGCGGCGGCCTCACCCCGCAGGACAGCTGGGCTGCGGTGGGCGCCCCGGGCTGGGCTGGCGGCACAGGCAGGGTGGGGAGGGCTCCCCTGCGACAGCGGGCGGGCGGCAGCACGCAGCGCTGCTCACTGGGGTCCTCGATGACGGCGCGCAGCCCCCACACGATGGAGCCCCCCAGCATGCCGCCCAGGAAGACGTTGAGGATGTCGTGCTGCAGAATCGGGCGGGGGGGAGGGGCGAGGGTTTGCATACATGAATCACACCCGGGGTTGCGGGTGGGTGCGGCCCCCCCTCATGGTGCATCAAACAGGAGCAAGCATGTCGCCCTGCCGCCGTCGCTCGCCACCCCGCCTCACCAGGAAGAACCAGGTGGCACAGCGCAGGTCCAGCGCGCTGAAGCTGAAGTGCAGGGCTTCGGCCTGCAGCAGGGCACACAGCCGGAGCTGAGCCGGGCAGCAGAGAGTCCCGCCACCACCCCAGCAAGGCTGTGCCCTCCGCCGTGGCGTCAGCCCAGACCCGCAGCCTGGGCTTGCCTGCGCGCAGGTGTAGAACCAGAGGGGCAGCACGATGGCCTGCCAGACGCTGAGCAGGATGGAGGGTAGGGTGGAGGAGATGAGGTTGCGAAGGAAGGATGCGAAGTTGTCGTCTACGAGGAGGCGACAGCAGGCGGCGGAACGCAGGGATCACAACCTTGGATCGACGCACGGATGGAGCTCCCATGCCCCACTCCCATCCTGGCCCCCCAGCCGTCCACACCTGAGCAGAACCAGTTTGCGTTGGGTGCCCCGGTGCTGCTCCCGCAGAAGCTGCTCACCACGGTGCCGCAGATACCTGCGGGCGCACCAGCGGAGCAGGCAGAGGGGGTGATGCTATCCGCCTGGCGCCTGCTTCCAG